GAGCCTCACTCGAGTCCATGTGAGATTCAAGGAGAGGTCACTACCGAGCTGAGCCCGGTGGGGAGGTGGGGAGGGGCGAGGGGGCGGGGGGGGGGGCGGGGCGGGTAGCGAAGTCACGGTGCGGGTGACCTGTCAAACAGCCCCGGCGCGGTGGGGCACTGCCGCAGGCAAATGGCGCACTCCAGCGTTGTTCCATATCGCGGTGGTGGGCCGGGCGGCCGGTTAGCTTGGCAGTTGGCTGCTTGGAAGGAAAGGGTAATGAGGCATGGGTTTGCTGTGGCCGGTTTATCCACTGTCAACTATGGTGAACCCAAAGAAATGCAAATGTGATGTTGGTAATGCAGCTGGCAATGCAATGCTAGCGAATGCTCCGGGAGCCCAGTTGCTATAAGGATTTATATTATTTATGTCTCCTGAAATTTTCATTGAATATAATTCAAGCAATAGAAAGATCGTATCGTTCGCCAGTTTTTTGACCGGCTGGTGTTTCTTGCGTAGAGCGCCCTTTGGCAAATAATTATCACGCAGGTGATTTTTTACTGGTAAGATGGGCCTTGGTCAAATCAAATCGCTAAGAGAAAATGAGCAAAAGTAGACGAATGCCACATTTTTGTGCATGAAGTCTCGAGTTAAAAAAGCTAAAAGTTAACCCTCGCCCGCACATGCCATTTTCCCATCCATCCTGTAGAACGCACATGGGGGGGGGGGGGGGGTGGCCACCCCCCGCGCCATTTCGTTCCTGTTGGAGATAGAGCTTAGCAGTAAAGACCAAAAAGATTCTTTGGGAAGAGACAAATCCAATGATACCCAGTTTTACCTTCTCAGGTCAGTCATTGACCTTCCAGGTCAGGTCAAACTAAAAAATGTTGCTGTTTTGGGTCACCGTTGGATATCAAGTGCGCTGCTTATCAAATACCGATGACGATGCTGTTTTCTGGTGCCAAGCCAGCTAGAACCTCTTTGTCACACTATCCGACCATAATTTTGCTGCTGAGGTCATTTCAGGTCAAGTTAGGTCAAGGTCAATTATATGTGTTTGTATGTCTGTGTGTGTCTGTGTGTATATACTGATGTGTGCACCGATTGTTTTTGGGTCCATATCACATGAAATCATGATCTGAGAAGCTTTTACCAAAAATGCAGTCAAAAAACTTCACAAAAAGTAAATTCAGCTTGCCTAAAACGCAATTATCTTAGATGACCTAGGTTGACCTTGACCCTGACCTTGACCCCTGTACATCGTCGAACAACATGTTCCATGATAGGTGGGAGGTAAGACTGGCAAAAAAGGCCGAAATCAGGGTGTCAAAAGCTCACAAGGCTCATGGCAAACGCAAGATGTTGAGAATTGGCCATTTGGGTCATGACATGACCTGAAAAAGAAGGTCATATCTCCGAAACCAAAAATCACAGAAACTTGAAATTTTCAGTGGACATCAAGAAAGGATAGACAAGCAGCTATACGAAAAATCAGCCTTCTAGCTCTAAAAATGTTGAGTGCAGAGCAGAAAGACTGCCTGGGGGGGGGGGTAGCAACCCCCCCCCCCCATGTGCGGGCGAGGGTTAATATACGTGTAAGCTAAAAATAATCAGATCAGTTAATGAAAATATTTGACCCGAAATTAACCTCTGTTTTGTCTGACCATGATTGCGTGTAAGACACCGGTCCAACAGGGTTCAACCCGGCCCAACCTGGTTCGGCTCCCCCTTTTTAATATTAAATTTGGCCCGAACCTTTTGAATGAAAGGAATCACAAGGACAGGGTCCCCGCTAAGCTGAGCTTGTTGCGTCGACCCTGCCCTCTACCCTCCGATCAAACAATTCCTGGTCTATGGCAGAATTAGAGTCCAAATTTTAACGTGCGCACATAGCCGCGCACGGCCGGTCCCCTCACTGACTTCGCCTGGCAGCGGCCTGCCACCAACCACAACCATACCCGTCGGAGGCTCAAAAACGTCAAACACACGTCGCGTTTCGAACCCGGACTTTTGCAACCGGGACGTGCGCTCTCACCACATGGCATATGGAGTCCAACGCTCTACCGACCGAGCTACCGGGACGGACATTTACCTTACGGTTTCGCCTCTTGACATTGATAGACGTCAGACACTTTTGGCCGAACTCTAGCCGAAACACTGAGCAAGCTGCGCAGTGCGCGGGGCGAAGGTGCTCGTAGCGTTGAGGTTGGGTAACCTGTGAGCTGAATGCGATGTCGCGAGTTCGAGCCCCACTCCCGGGTCTGGTTTTATCTCGACACGAACCAAACCTTTCCTTCTACTGCAACACAGATAAGCACGATGACATCTTTCCCGAATATCTTTCCCCAATATCCTCTAAAAAAGGCAAAATTATCGCTTATAAATGTTTAGCAATGTTTCATTATTAAGAAAATATTTTTGGACATTTTTCTGGAGCCATTTCAAATCTTTTCTTTTCTGATTCTTTTCGGCCCGATAAAACCCGCCAAAACTGATCGTGCCAAATGAAAAATATCTAACTCAAATAACAGTTTAGAACAGCCTCATCATTCATCATGAAAAGCATCATGCAACTATCGACTGAATAGTTGCATGCTATGAATGCGTCCTAGATTTCAATTGCTTATCATTGTTCAACATTTTGGCTGGAACTGACGCTGCCTCAGGCTTGCCCGTTTGTTTGAGATAATGATTCCCTTCAGTCGCATTCTTGCTGGTTCCACATGAACAGGATACCACCATACCGGAGTAAACGCACCCGCAACCATCATCCCCTCCCCTCAGCCTCGGCGCAGTGGCGGGCGGCCCTGGGCGGCCCACTCCCGGCGCTACGCACGCCCCATGCGCCGTGATACCGCGTCACTCCCCCTCCCTCCTTCCCCCACAATGACCGGTGACCTCACTTCCCTCGGGATTTGGACTCGCCCTACCCCGACCGTAGCGCCACGTGGTGGCTCTGGAGATCTTAAATAGACCCACTGTACCTATGAGCCAACAACACCATGCGAGCGATAATGGAGTAAGGAGTTTTCCATTTTGGAACAGGAAAACCAATTTTTAAATGCTATGCTAGAAAAACAGCACCAACATACCCAATCTAGGCAGCTAAAACTGTGCAGAGCGCTCACTGCCCAGCCTAAAAAGCTTCAGGATGTTTATGCTACAAAATATATCAAACTTTTCTTTGCATAATAGACAACCGGAAATTAGACCCTATAAATAAAAATAAAAATAAAAAATTGAGGAAATAGTTCACCATCAAACTAATACGTGAGATAGCGAAGCCCATGTCAAAAGCTTCCTTTTCACGACAGAAAACGGCAATGAGTGGTACGACTATTTTTTAGAAGGCTGCTCAAACATCTTTATCGCACAGGCCACCAGGTCCAGTCACCACGTCACGTCAAGTGACGTCACCTCAAGAAAAAGTAAGTACTACATTTGCTGCATCCGACCCAGCGATTCTTTCAAAAACTGCAGAAATGGATGAAAGTTATACAAAGCTTGTAATGCAATCTCGTTTTTTTATATCGACGAGCTAAGCTTTAGTCGATTTTGTAACCTCTCAATTTGTGTGTTGACGGTAAAAAAGTGTCCCTCTTTCGGACGACTCATTCCTATCCCGCCATTGAATGACGGACATAAGCGCCCCCCCCCCCCCCCTTCCCATGCCACAACCTAATACCACAATCGCCGTGAGACTAATAACTTGGCTTCTCTTTAATTAGTTTGCATACCTAGCCTTTAAATATCTTGTTGGGCTGAATATTGAAGCTATGGCCATTTACGAATGGAAAAGCAAACAAAAAATACCGGAGGCCTTAAATTTCTATTCAGTCAACATTCGCTCATTAGGGATCGATGCTCCACATAATAATTTTGCGCATCACAAGCGCCCTTTGCGGCCCCATTGAAGGTGAACTATTTCCAATAAACGATTGCTTTTGTAAACAAGTGCGCCTGTGACAAAGGGAATATTCCACTTTCTGATGTTTTTCTTAAATTTGTTTTATGTTTGTAATGACAAGTCGCAAAACCTGTATAATAGTTTTGATCAGGAAAAAACTTTCAAATCAAAATAAGTGCATTATAGTGATTTTATCAGGATGTAATGCATTATTCAGATAAATTTAAGTGACCATCCCACCTTAACATTAGTTTTGAGTTGAGATAGCCAAATTGGTGGCCATGGCCTGCAAATACCGGTTTGGGCACTCACAACATCGAAACATACTTTAATTCGGAGATATGGAATTTCAAACTAGCAGTTTTCGGATTATAAGGGGCTAATGCATTGGAATGCCCCTTAGAATTTGTGACGTCAGCGGAGATCTAACGATTTTTAAATCTTAGACTAAAACCATCGTTAACACGTGGTGGCATACACTGCTTTGCGCGCAACGTCTGCCGCACTTCGAGGCTGCCAAATTATTGCTTCCAAATAAGTCGCTAGGAACACTGCGGAGATCCCAAAAAGTAAACAAAAGCAAAAGTCTAATATTCTTGAAAACCAGTGAATATTTTTCGGTGAAATTTGGTAGATATTCATTTTTGATCTCTCCAAACCAAGGGACATCATTTTTATGCCAATTCATTAACTTTTTTGAAACTGGGACTTGGGAGGGTCCCTTTAAGTGGATGAAAATGGCATTTGACGGTCACAGTTTACCATCCGGTGTTCATCGATTGGCCGATTTAGTCGCCGGCAAGATGTTTGGATTCTTTGATAGTCGGAAAACGTTATTTGTAAACTCAGTAAGTACATAATGAAGTAATGCTCATCTTATATTGAAGTAATTTAAGTTGGCACTTGACAGACTTAACGGACGTTAGCATTGATTATTTTTTATAAAAGCAATATCCAAACTATTCAATTCGAAATTCAAGTAAAAAAGTGGAATATTCCCTTAAACTACTAGCATACTCCATCTGCGTTCGTCGGATCACGAGCACCGGTCGTGGGCGCGGCGGTTTTAGCCCCGGGACAGCAGCCGACAGTTCAGTTTGCAGACGGGACTGACCTTGCGATGCTCCGTCGTCGCCTGAAGCTCCGGCCGCCAGCAGGTCGCCGCCGCCTGAAACCCGGGCAAAGCGGTCAGTACTGGGCCCAACTTCGAGACATGAACATCAACCAGCGGCAGCGCAGAACGTGACGCTTCTTTAATAACAGCAAAAATGCAAAATACTCTAGAACAAGATTCATCATTTTCATTTTAAACTTAACTTGAAAACGCTTGACTTGAAAGGAACTATGTCCCTGAAAGGCTAAAGAAAATCGTATGAATGCATAAAATCCTACAGCACCAGACACTGTCTCATATCATCCACACCATTTCTCTAATAGTGCTTACCTTGTTCTGATACTCTGCTGAGAAGGCCCGCCATGTCGTTTGAACTTGCCGAGTGGTCCGACCCATCGAACTGGGACGCCTCAAACGTTGACACCTGACCCAGCGTGGCCTCTAAACTAACGTCATCGTCATCGTCCGCAATGTCTATTTTCTCCACTTTGATGCCATAGTCCTGTCGGCCGGCAGCCGGCTGGGGCGGCGGCGGAGGCTCGTGCTGCGGCGGGGGCGGCTCCGCCAAATCCGCGCCCGACACGGGCGGCGGTGGTGGCGGCGGTAGGGCGGCGCCCGGCGGTCCGGCCATCGCGTCCGCGGCCGGGTCGCGCGGCCCCGCGGCGGCTGCTGGCGGCGGCGGGGCGGCGCTCACCGCTGACGGAGAGCCCGGCCGGCTGCCCGAGGAGCCCGAGAGCCGGCGCCGCTTGAGCCGCGGCGAGGCGGGCGGCTCGGCAGACTCGCGGGGACGCTGGCGCACCGGCGGCGGCGGCGGCGGCGGGCCGGACGCGAGCCGCGATCGGTCCGGTGGCCGCTCTCGGCCCGCCGGCGGCGGCTGAGACCGCGGCACCTGGGCGGCCATCAACGCAGGTCAACTCATTGTGACAATAAAACACTTCTACATTTTACAAACACCCAAATTGTCTTTTTAAATTACATGCCCAGTATCAATCAACAATGTTTTGTTGTAGAAGTGTTATTGCACTACTACCTAGGCATTAGGGAAATGTGTGGCAATTTTAGTTTGACTTGAATTTGCTTTCAACAGCAATAATGCACTCCTTTTTTGGTTCTGGCTGAAGCTAACATCACTTTAGCAAGTATATACCAACCCAAACATCAATTTAGATGAAAATAAAACAATGGACTTTCTCTACAAAGGCGATGTTTTGGTGCACAGAGCAAACAGAACAGATCTCACCTGGTCTTCCTCTTCATCCCCTGAGAGTCCTTTGACCTGGAGCAGCTCTGCTGTCTTCAGGAAACTTGCCAACTGACTTTGGAGCACATTGACTTCTCCTTTGTACACAAACTCTATCACAGCAGCAATGTCTACATATGAAGTGTCCTTCAAGAAGAACAGGGGGTGTTGACATGGATTGTCCTGTAAACAAAAACAAAGCATATGTGATAAAACTCAGGCTAACAAACTATTTCATTTATACAAAGGGTGAAAACAGCAGGACCTTTATAGGTACCTAATAGAAAGATCACAATGTCAAGTAGTGTTGATACCAGACTCATATTATACTTTAACCAAACAACAGAACAAAATTGGTCACATACCTACTTGGCTTAGTTTGGCCATGTGAATTTTCTTTCATATACTTTTTCTAATGGTGTCATTGTTATTGAACATACCTTGAAGAGATCCCTGAAGTAAGGACTGCATGCTGACAGCATCATCCTGTGCGCCTTTATCTTTCTCCCCTCACAGCACAATGTAATGTCCACCAGTTCTTCATCTTGCCGCAGGCTGTCAAACACTGAGGTTACACTGTTCTGGAAGTTGTTCCACTTGAGACAAAACTTCTGTGAGGCAGCCATGGTACCCTGCAAAAAAAAATTGATGTCAGTAATTGGAATTAGACCTCAAACTGATCAGTGATTGGATGAAAACACCCCATGCTGCTTCTGCATATTACCAATCTTTGTTGAATAATTTTTACAGCTCCAAAATGTTGTTCCTTATCACTATTCCTAAAAGGTGGTAATAAGTAAATTTGTAAAATGCCTAAGCATATATTTTTCAACACTGCCCTGATAGCCTGAAAAGGCATGATGCAGCCAGAGATAAAGTGTCCTGCATTCATATTTCAAATTTCATGCATAAAGCAGCAATCATTATTATGAGAAATAGTCACATTAACTCACTAAGATTAGTAAAGATGCAATGCCTACAGAGTACAGGTTCTGGACTTGGATGTTGGAATGGAGTCACATTATCCAAAAGTAAGCTGCTCTGATACAGCCCATTAGTCTCTGTGAATCAATGGAATAGGACATTGTTACAAACAGACGACGGTGAAAACAGGGCACCTGGGGCGATTTGATCATGGTTCGTTAAATTTACACGTGACGTTTGGGATATAGAAGGCCCATGGAGCAGGAGAAGTTGCAAATGTCACGTGACTAGTATGCCATCCGGCGCCCTGTTTTCACCGGCGTCCTTACAAAGCCCCACCTCAACCTCAACCTAATATCTCTCAAGAACCAGGCAATGATCCTATCAGAGTGATGAAATTGAAATAAATACATTTACTTTACTCTTACGCTGACGTTAACGTTGGCTCGACGCCCAGGTATGGAACGGAGCCATCGACGGACGGCTCGACGCCACGGTACAATTCTTACTTACGAGTGAAGTTACGCTAGTGCTCAGGCCGGGCAGTTATATCGCATTCGCTTTGTCAGTCATAAATGGATTAAGAAAGTCATTGGAACTGATACCGAAACCCAACGATGTAAAATCTAACGAATCTAACGGCGTTCCGTTACCAAACAACACAACCCACACACCTCACGCTCTTGCCTCACGCTACACTCCAACGCGAAATGGCGCAAAATGGCGCATGTAAAAGGTCACAAATTTTAGCAGATGGCGCCAGCATACGGACATACTTTTGACTTTTGACGCCGTTTATTACAATAAAATGAGTTTTGTCGGTTTCTTGGCTTTCATTTTCATTTCAAAATATCAAGTTGTTGACAAAAAAATACTCTTTTTTTGGTTTTCAACATTGAGCTTCCTACAATTAATATCAATAACTTCTTGATAATACACCTAGGCAGCTATGCCGCAGCTGTGACAATAAGGTGGCTACCACTGCTACCACTAAATTAATTATACATATTACGGCTTACGCATTTGTCAATATGCTGATGAGATGCTGATTTATGCCTGATTGGGTGCTCTAACACTTACATAACGTCTGACTGAATTTAGAAGATATTAATATTTGCAACTACCTCTGTGTCAAAATACAAATGACAATGCTTCTAAGCAATGCCATCCGTCTTCCGAAAATATCATGTGAGTGATATCAAATACCTATCTATCAAAATTTTAATCAAAATTAAGTTAAATAGGCTTGAAATGAGTGGATGTGGTACCTACCAAAGTGGCATTTAAAAGTTTATTTTTAACTGTTTGGCAGTTAAAAAGGAATTAAAATCCATTGAGTTCATGGAATTTGGGCAAACTTATAGGGGTGTGAGCTGTGCTCCCTGCAGCGTCCAAGACTGAGACTGCCTTTCCAGATCAGCCAGTGATTATGCTGTCTCCTTGCAAAAATTTAAGGAGCAACAAATGATTAAATTTTATCCTTGGTTATCATTTTCTGCTCTTTTTATGCAATCTATTTCTCTGCTGTCAGTTGTTCCAACATGTAGATGGTTAGTGGACTAGGTACACATTTTCAAATGACACAAGTTTTTTTTCCAGATGGCACATACAAAGTTAGCAGCAAGAACATGGAAGAGCTCCTAGATGTGGCATTGTCGGCAGGATACAGATCCATAGGTAATTCCATTTGGGTACCTATTGTATGTGATCAATTGATTGATAGACATGCAGGCTAGATGACCAGACAGCAAAACATGACAATGGGGCTAACAAATAGCACCAGCTAGAGTGACATCTGCACCGGGCTGCTACACCAACTGGTCTGGAAATTTGCACCAGCTGCATCAAAACAAAGCCAGAAACTTATTGTGGAGTCTATAAGCCTGCGCTTGTGATTAGACAATAACTGCAATATAAATGTATTTCTTACTTGGCCAACCCAGTTGTGTCACCCATTCATCTTTTATTCAGCCAACACTCATCTCTTTGCATCAGCAGTTCAGCAGGCAGTCAACACAGTTCATTTCAGCCTGATTGCAAAGCATGGCAACAGGATCAGCATTCAGCAAGACACACCAGCAAGGGTGACAAATCTGCCCCAGCTTGTATCATCCTGGCTGGGAATCTGCACCAGACTGCATGGAATGAAACCTGGAACTTTTGCTGCATGATACATAGACATGCACTTGGGAATGGATGAGCAATCAGTTCTTCCCTGGCTGACCCTGGTGTGTCCTGTGCATCATTTTCGGACCATGCTGCACCAGCTTGTGACGGGGTTCAGCAGTCAGCAGCACAGCATCGCTCAACGCTCCACGGAAACTCCGCGCCACGGTAACCTCGCTCATTTTCCACGCTAAGCAGAGCTTAGTGCGTAGACCCCAACCCCTACCGTCCGATCGCGCTATTACGGGCAAAGCCCTATAGCGTATCGGGTAATGGGAGAATTTAGATGCCAAAGTCTAACGTAGCCATCAAAGCCGGAAACGGACTGTCCCATTCAACTGACTTCAACTGGCTGCAGTTGCTCCCACCAACCGCAGACCATCCCCATCAAGAGTCTCAAATATCGAGCCCCAAAGCGACTTGAATCCGGGCTCTCACTACCCGGCAGTCCAACGCTCTAGCAACTGAGCTACGGAACAGGATCATGCCATACTTTGCAGTCGGGCATTTCATGGCATGCCCCGCTGCACACAAAAGCCGCACCTTTCCGTGCACAGGCGGAGAGCCCCCGCATCCGACGAGACCTTGTTGATATTGCCATGCTTTGCAGTCTGGTGGATGTAGAGGGAGGGGGGGGGGGCGGCGGGCATCTAGGGTAGATATATTTTTCCAAAGTCATTCATAAAATTTGGCCTAACTTTTTTAAGAGACTGATTGACAGATTGAGCTTTGCTAAGCAGAGCTTGTTGCGTAAGGGGTGGGGGTGAGGGGGCCCGACCTCTACCGTTCGTTATTTAAATGCCGGGTAACGGAAGAGCTAAGATGCCGAATTTTAATGTGTCCGTCAACTGTCAAGTCCTTTCACGGTCTATCCCACTCAACTGACTTCCACCATACGTATCTGCTCCCACCAATTTGGACCATTTCCGTCAGCAGTTTCATGATTTATTGAACGCATCGGTCGCATCCAAGCTGGAACTGCCAACCGATGTTTTCTCAGTCAGCAATAGGACATACCGTAACCACAAGAAAACTGTCAACAATAAACAGTACGAGAAAGCTGGAAGATGCATTAGATTTGGACTGTGGCCTAGCAAGGTCTGGAGCCAATACATTTTGCCAGGAACCAGGAGACATTCACTCCGGAGTCGGTCAGGCATTCAGAGTTGGATAGTGAAGCAACATATTTTTAACAACCCGTTTTCACCATTGCTGTGTTCTCGCTGTGATTCAGACACTGCCGAGGGGTACCGGAACGAGGCTTCCATCGGAGCCGCTCTCTCTCGCCTGCTTCCGGCCCATTCCCTGACCCGGCAGGACGTCTTCATCACCAGTAAACTGGGTACGTGCAGGGCTGGATTTACTGCAATTATGGAAGTTAGCTGGCTAGGTACGGTACGTATGACCTGGTTTTGCTGCATTCATGTACTAAAGTATGTCGTATATATGGCCTGGTTTTGCTGTATTTATATACGGAAAATTTGTTTTTGTTTTACGTTGTTTTATAAAGGGTCGTGCCAGTTAAAGGGACCCTCCCACCTTAACATTAGATTTGAGTTGAGATAGCCAAAATGGGGTCCCTGGCTCACAAATACCGGTTTCGGCACTCACAACATCGAGAAATGCCTTAAATCGGAAATATTGAATTTCAAAATTGCAACATTTTGATTCAGAGGGGCTAATGCTTAGGAATACCCCTCTGAATGTGTGACGTCAGCGCAAATATCTAACGATTTTTAAATGTTTGACTAAAACGTTTTGTAGCACGCGGTGGTATATGCTATTTGCGCGCAACATCTGCCGCAAACGCCGCACTTCTAAAATAAAGTCGCTAGAAACAGCGGAGATCCCAAAAAAAGTAAACAAAAGTAAAAGTCTAATATCTTGAAAACCGGTGAATATTTTTCGGTGAAATTTGGTAGATATTCGTTTTCGCTCTTTCTGAACCGAGCGACATCACTTTCATGCCAATTGATAAACGTTTTTGAAGGTGGGAGGGTCCCTTTAACTGAAGACTGATGAGTGCTGAATAAAGATGAAATGAGCCCGAATTTTGTTCTCTTCCTTTGTTTTTAAAGCATGTTCTTTCTTACCTTTTGGTCCTGGTGTGTCAGATGAGCTGTCAGATGAGCAGATGAGCTGTCAGATGACCGATCTCTTTCTCGCTCCGTTTCCGCAGCCCCGCGCAGCCAGGGCTACGAGCGGTGTCAGGCGGCGGTGGCGGCCTCTCTAAAGGCGCTGCAGACAGACTACATCGACCTCTATCTCATACACTGGCCAGGTGGGAAACAGAGGGGAGATTTGACGTGGATCCTTATGTGGAGTCTTATTGTAGGTTTTGTAGCTGAAATGATATAAATGCGTGATATGCTTACAATTATTTTTAAAGTATTAAACCTCTAAGGTCAACTGTTCTTCGTAGTGAGATTGTTTTTTCGTACCTCGTACTCGATGTTTTCGATCGTTCAGTTTTTGTTTCACATGTTCATTGCCGAATGCAGTTTCGATATCGCCTCCCGTCACCCGTTGTGTCCTGCTCGCGCTCCTGACCAGCCGTCCACCCCCCTCGCGCCAGGAGCCTCCGGACTGGAGCCGGACGACCCCCGTCACGCCCAGCTGCGGGCCGATTCCTGGCGCGCCCTGGAGCAGCTGCTGGCCGAGGGCACGCTGCGCGCCATCGGCGTCTCCAACTACGGCGTGCCGCACCTTCAGCAGCTGCTGGACACGTGCCAGACGGCGCCGCACGTCAACCAGGTCAGACTGCCGCGGGGCGGGGGCCGGGGCTCGCTGGGAGGGGCAATGGGTGGACCATCTTATGTAGGCATTCCGTCAGTGATGCAATGCTCGTGTAAATAGCGAGTATGTCGTCCAAATTCTTCCTGGTACATGGCGTAGGCCGTCCGTGATTGTAGACAGACGGTAACCGTATCGTCAAGAATATAAGCTGTTATCGCCACTTACTCTCTACATAGAGACGTTCACTATCTAATGTATGGATTCGATGCAGAAGATGCCACAAAATGTATTTGAAACTTTCGATATTGGATGCATGTCAAATAATTACAAAGAGAGTCTTCTTTCAAAGAAGGCGCATGACGCAACTTTTTGAATAGTCTGATGCGTCCGAATTGATGAACGCTACCTAACACCCAGGGAAATTGTTGGGATTTGGGGCACGGGCTTTGCACGTATCACGAATCGAATGAACACCAAGAAACAAATCAAATGGATCTGAATAGGTTTATAACAGCATTTGGTGGAGCTCGCTACCAACGAACCCCGGTTACGATTACGCTGATGAATTACGGAATGCATTGTGGAGCTAAGCCATGCCAGTAGGCATTACATGCTCGCTAACTTTGCAACCAATGTCCTAAGTCATATCCCATATCAAATGCTCAATTCATTTCCGAGCTATCTTCCTACATTTTTGTGCAGTCTTTAAATTTTTTTAGGCTGTGTTTTAAGTTTACACTCGTAATAAAGATCATCCCGCAATCTGGGGGACATGTCTATTTACCACAGGTCGAGGTCCACCCATACTTCCAACAGAAGGAGCTCAGAGAGTTTTGCGGACAGCACAAGATTCATGTTCAGGCCTACTCCTCTTTAGGTAAGTGCAAGGATAGCAATTAGCAACATTTCATTCTCGATCCACTGCTTACAAGCTTAGTCACTCACAAATGCTGTGCTTTAGACCATCTCAATATTACCACTCGCATAATAAATATACCTTTTCGTTATGTCGTACGATGGTTCCCCTGTAAAACTGCGCAATTTTACCGAGGTGGCTGTATTCCAGGTACGACAGTGGAGGTGAGCCCCCTGCTGGTCGACCCCGTGGTACAACAGGTGGCCGAGGAGGTGGGCAGGACCCCCGCCCAGGTGCTGCTCAAGTGGGCACTGCAGCATTCTCTCAGTGAGTACGGAGGGACGGGCAGTGGAGAGTCGCTGCCGCAGAAACGTTAGCCTTTTATTGTAGTGCGACTTTTAGACAATGGTTGTTTCTTACCCGCTGTTCTGTTCGTTTCCTAATGTTCGTTTCATTGAGTATTGCTTATGATAGTTTTTGCTGGATGAACTTGCTTTTCAATGGCATCACTATCATAAACCTATTTGACGTAGGCGCATACGATCGGCTGTGTTTTTGTTTCATGTCGGAAGGGATTTTGCGAGCGTTAAATCCCCTCAGCTACTTTGTTTCTCATCGTAACTTGTATTGACCATTTATGTAACAACTATGCTAAAATCATAAATCTTATTGCTCTTCCCCTCTTACAGGCGTCATACCCAAGTCAACCAATCCGCAGCATATGAGGGAGAATCTGGAACTAGAGTTTTCTCTAGATGGCCAACAGATGGCTCTGCTGGACGGTCTGGAACGGAATACCAAGTTCGCTTGGGATTCGCGTGTCGTGGCATAACGAAATCTCTCCGCTGAATTTTACCGAGCATGTACCTATTCTCTTGTATGTAGGCAACGCTTGTTCATGCGAGGCGAAATGTGTCTGTGATAACTGATATGTTTGCCGCTGCGATTAGGGCCAGTGGCGTTGTAGTACATGAACACGGTGTGACCCGTGACCGGTAGCGGTCGCTGAGGCCGTAATAAGCACAGCCAACAGTGGATTTGCGCTTCTGATATTGTCCGGGGCCCGTGTGAATGAAATAGGTGTTGGAGCCGGCAGAGAAGTGGCATACGGGGACGAGCAGCGGCGCGGGCGATGAACTCTCCCGCAGCGGTCATGCTGATGAGTGCTTTGAAATTGTGCTTTTAGCTCTATGGGCTCAATCGTGGTATGATGTGTGATGCACGGCGCCGTCTACAGGTCCACTGACAATGAACTTTGTTTATTCAATATTGCGCTCCTTGGTTTTGTAAGGCAGTAGGTCATTGCAGTGTGCAAGATGAATACTTTGTATTGCACCCATCATTTTGCAAATAAATGATGCCTGTTCAAATCGTACTAAAGCGTTTTCGGGGCATGGTTGTATTTTACAGGTTATTTTTCAGGATATTTACGTGAGCTTCAAGTGATTCACAGTGCTTCAAATATCAGTCATTAAAGGTAGTGTGCCAGCTTTCTTGGACCATATGGAGTTAATGACCCGGATAAGGAGAACCGGATTTTTAGAACTTATCCATACCTTCAAAACTTATGGAAACGTCTTAAATTCTTCAAATTTTGAGTACCCCAGTGCGAAATTCGCCCCGACGGGTTGTCGGTCGTACCCCAACCACATTTCACACCACTATGAACAATAAATGCACACACTAAAATCGCTATTACCGATTGGCTCATCCAATCAAGTTTCGATAAACCCGTTCATCATCATCTCCTGCGGTTTCGAACACGCCTGTTAGGTGGCTTGTGATGCTCGTCGAGGTCGGAATTTACAAATACGCGTGGTGCGTCGGGCCGCGCGCTCTGACTTCGGCCAAGAAAAATGCGTCAGCTCATGATCATTGTCATTTCTGCCACTTGCGTGTGGTGTAATGGGGTCATAACTTAAGAGACGGCTGTTTCATATCAATTATTTTACATAAAATCATATTTCAAACCACAAATTAATGTTCGACAGCCAAATTTAAGAAACAATACCAATACAGGCTTACAGTTTAAGGCTCGACATTGTGTTGTCTACGATTAGACAGCTGATAACTCATTCCCGTACGTCGTATGGTCGTAACACTATAATGACCTTTGCTTATTGTCACAAGTGCGCCGCATTCGCGATTGTTGCCCGACGCCTGTTTGCAGGTGAGCCCACTACAGTTGTTATACATATCTAAAAACCGATAAACTTTTAGGCGAAAAAGGCACTATTCCAGGCCCATTTTTGATTTTTTTTTTGCGATATTAGGTAAAAACAGAAGCTTCTTATCCTAGGAAAAATACAACGGGAAATCTTTCAAAGGTGGCACACTACCTTTAAATATCATCGACCGCACTGTGCTTCAAATATAAATCATCGAGCCCTGTCCATCTTTCCGGCTCCCGCTGGACAGGGTTCAGTTGGTGAAGTGACTCGTCCTCAGACTTGTTGCGGCAGTTGAAAGGTCTCATGGGGCTTTGTTTGGTGCTCGCTTGCTGCCTGTCTTCTCCAAACGGTTCGGAAACATGAGCACGTGACCTTAGATAGGTCTCCTAACACTCCCGGGTACCACCCAGCGCCCGGTGGCCGCCTTCCCCGGCTCTCCGCCGGCCTCTCCGTCCCCCCGGCGCGGTCCCAGGCAGCGCTCCACCGCCAGTGTGAGTGCGGCCGCCATCAGACCGCTACAGAGCACCAGGAAGGCCGCAGACAGATCCACCACCGTCAGACTCTGAGTGGCGCGCACGCTGGGCTCCTCGACCAGCCTCGGCATCCAGTGGTGCACCACCCCCGACTGCAGCAGTCGGTGCGTGGCGCGGTTCAGCAGTGGCCGGTAACAGGCCCCCTTCCGTATCGGCCACGCCAGTCCCGTCTGGAAGAAGCGCGCGCGGGAGATGTAGAAGCGTCGGTCCTGGCGGTCCATGAGAAACTTGCGCAGCACGGTCAGCTCGTTGACGTAGACGGTGTCGGTGGAGAGCGGCGCGTCAGGGTTGGAGAGCAGCTCGATCGGGAACTGGCCCAGTCGTGGCACGATGCGTGCTAGATACGAATCGCTCCCAGCGTACGAACGGAAAAACAGCTGCACCGCAGTGCCGTCGGCTACCTTGACGGAGAGTGTGGACTCTGCGAGCGCGCGCAGCGTGTCGATGGGTTTCTCGTGGTGAGGGACTGTCAGAGTGGACGTGAGCACAGTGCGGTAGCAGATGCTCACCACCAGACAGAGGAGCCACCAGAGCGCCAGCACGGCCCGGTGCACGGGCCGCTTGGCCGGCAGGAACAGGCTCTGGGAGGTGAGCGTGTTGGCTGTGAACCAGAGCGCGTGCTGCAGCCGGCGGCGGCGGGACCAGCGGCGCGGCAGCAGGCCGGGCGCGGCTGCCAGCGCGCTGGCCGCGGCCACCACGGACAGCAGCAGCAGCAGCCAGGTCAACTTGTCGAACGGCTGCGCGATGACCAGCCAGCGCGGCAGCCGGCGGGGCCGCTCCAGCGCCATGCAGTTAGGCTCCATGTGGAACGCGTACGTGTAATCGACCACGGTACTCCGCAGGAGCGTCGTAGAGATATCCCCGATGGCCAGGTCCGCGCGACCGTCCAGGATGGCCCGCACCACCCCAGTCCACGAGCCGTTGGCGAGTTTCGTCCCGAACAATCCGTCTGTGGTCCGAGGATGCTGCAGGCTGAAGGTGAACCCCAGCGCCGCCGACATCGCGTCCAGCATGTTCAACTCGACGCCCTCCACCTCGTCTCCAGTACCGGTGAACTTGACGAAGAGCGTGCCGGCCGCGGCGGTGGTGACGACACGCAGGTGGTGTCCGTGCAGGGAGATCACGTTCTCGAAGAACAGGTCGCTCGTGGGGTCGGCGACCTCGGACCGCAGCAGCTCGGTAGGCTGGGCCGTCTCCGTGACGCAGTCGACGTGATGCACGAACACGCGCGTCACGCCGCCGCCCTCGCCGACCATCACGGCCGTGACGCTGTCGGCTCGACGGACGTCCAGCAGACGGAGGCTGTGCGAGGCGCTGACGTTCTTCTCGCTCTCGATGACCGCCAGCCGGTCGCAGTGGACGCCGCGCCGAGACAGCAGTCGCTGAGGTTGGGTCAGCTGAGGACTGGACCAGGCCGTCTCCGGTAGCCAGAAGACGCACGCGCTGCCCCGCACCTCCGGTTGGCGGAGGAGGAGGAGGCGGGAGGCCGGTGAGTTCAGGCAGATGGTGCGCACAGAGCGAGCCTGGAGGTGAACCACCTCCAGACCGCTGCCGCCGGCGTCATCACCGCCGCTGCCGCTGATGAAGCCTCCCGAGCAGTCGAGAACAATCACGGTATCTCGGTACCGCGTCATCCGGTTGATGGCGCTGGCTATGCTGTCATCGCTGACGCTGGCGGCCAGTGCGCCTCCATTAGTCGCCAAGAAGATCGTCCAGAGAGCCAGCCAGAAGCGAACCGCCGCCGGCGCCATCGCGTGCTCCACTGTGGCCCGCGGCGCGGATGGCGTGTTGATCGCATCCGCTGCCGGTGGGGCTAAGACCCGGACCCCACGCGACGACGGGGCATTTATTCGACAGTCTCGCAGGGCTATTCATTCCGGGTATATGTTGCTGAATGGCCTGGAGTAATTATCCCAGTGTTTGGATGGCGCCTTTCTGTTCGTTAGTAGATATCGATTTAGCCGACTGACATGTTCTCGATGCCGTTATTGTGATACCGTTATCGGCTGCCCGGTACTTGTACGGTGGGTTATGTATTCTAACGTTCATGGGGCTTGGTGGCACACCGGTCTACGACACAATTAATTGCAAAGCCAGCGACAATAGCTATTTTCATTATTGAAGTGGGTACTCGCTACGCTATCGCCAGCATCAGTGCGATGAATAAAACAAATTTTAATTTCGCTTCTTTACTGGTCTTCCAATCATGAATCAATGGTCATCGGGCAATAATGCTTTTCTTGCAAGTATGATTACAGTGCTACATAGGATAACTCAGAAATGTTTAGTAGCAGGACAGCGTAAAGCGTTTTGCCTGACGTATCCAGATTCCAGAATGAGTGGTAACGTGATAGCGCCTCTAGTGTGACCGCACCCCGGGATCCTGGTACGTCGCTAGCTCATGTGTGCAAACTGCAGACAATAGTTGCGGATACGATGCCGAGTCAATATTTATACGACCTCGTATTTGAGTTGATAATAGCCTGACGCTTTACGCTGCATACCAAGCAGTGGACATAAGGCATCATCTGCCGATGTCCCGAACAAACACTGCACGCTGGGCGGCCCAGCACCGTCAGCCGAGAATAATTCGGTGGTGAGATTAGCACCCCGCGTACACCGTGCGCCTTTTGTGCACATCTATTGTAGGTGGGGCACCGGGAGGCTTGCAATGACGTGACAACTTTGATCACTATTTTTACCGGGCGGGCTCTGACCCGTCACACATTTTTACAAGCATGTTCTGAGCCGCTATTATAGAGCCGAGCCGCTATGAGAGTCGATTTTATGTGATTGCACGTCATCATGTATAGTTTTGTGGCACTTATTGACTTAGAAACACTTGGAAACCTGGTTTCAGATGATGTGCATGGCGGGATCCACTCAGATCATAGATCCACGTTCTTGGTTTATCGTCAGATTCTATGAGATCACAGATCCAGGATAAATTTTTCACGCCGGATCCGGCGGGACCATAGATCCTAACCTGCAGTTTCTTCGGAGATCCACTGAGATCATCAAGATCCATCACTCGGATCCATGCACATGTCTGCCATGGGACACCCTGCATCTATCTATCTATCTATCTACCCCGAAGCATATGTCATGTGCTTGTTTACAGCGATACCTTCATCCAGCTGCCAACAAATACGAGCTTGCCTCCCTTTTATGAATATATTTGCGATCGGTCAGCAACGACCATTCGTATTACACGATATCGTGAACACAGAACAATTCACGTTATTTTCACTGGCCTGGGTTATCGACATTCACGATAAAATGTGATAAGTTGTGTAGTGTATCGTACCTCGGTCTAAAATTGTATGAACAATCCCCCAAAGCCAACGAAACCCGCCATTATTTGTAATATGTACAAATGATTCATAATCTCATCCCCAACAATGAAGTGAATAATGAACCTCATAGCTCGTTAGTAGTAAACGTCGTTGCAATAAAACCAAAAACAAACAAAAGGTCATTGAACAGGCGTTAACAATAAATAACAACACCGTAACATCATGTCTCGCCGTTTCTTCGATCTCTCTATCGTGGATGTTGGCACATCACTGCCAGATTGGCGGTCCCGCGCTCAGGTAGTTGGCGGAGTTGTCGTCGAAGGGGTCATCCTGTCCGGGTCCGCTGGCCGGCGCCGTGCCGGTGTCGCCGATTCGGATCTCGTCCGCCTGCACCTTAGTGACCGCCAGCCGGTCGCCGCCCTGCGAACATAGCACGGTTTCATAGTGGGACGGCTCTGCATGCTTGAGGATTGCTGCGCTCTTACGTCTGAATGCTAACTAAAGTAGTTGTTTGATTTAACGATTGGTGTACTCATCTCCAGGCTCCCATTTAGCGATTGGGCACTAAAATCTCAAGGGTTTGAATTCCAATCATTATTTCATTGAATGCAAGTTGATTTCATGGGGCTAAACAACACGACGATTAAATTAGACGGTAAAAGCGTTTCGTTGCCTCACTCGGTCAGTGAGCACTCCGTAACAAAGTCGGCAGTAGGTACCGAAACTCCCAGCTCCCGCTCCCGCCGCGCCGTCTCACCTGTCCACCGGCGAGGCCCTGTTCGTACTGCTGCTGCTCCTGGCCGGCCTTCATCAGTGTGAGCAGCGACATGGGACAGGCCGAGTAGGCGGCGGCACAGTCGCCCCCGTCCGCCCCCCGCTCACTGGCCAACGAGTAGTCGTGCAACACGTCCACCAAAGACGGCTTCGGGCTGTGGGGAGGGGGAGGGGAGGGGAGTTAAGGGACCGTTGTTCTGACGGAGACACCTTTGATGTTTATTGCTAACGAGACTTTCTGAGGAACGCAATGCCTACTTTGCGAAATAAATTATAAGGAACTCACCGTGTTTCGTGTCCGTTTCATGACGATCAAAAGCAAATGTTTTCATCATTCCCGTATCGAGTCGCCGTAAAATATCGGCATTTATGTGCTAGCTGGGAAGCATGAAAGTAACTTTGAATTTTTTGTTTGTTTGTGCAAAATGAGAAAAATCGCATAGGTAGGTCGTCTGGTCGCCAATGCCATGCCATGCTGAGTCAATTCAATCCAACCTGTGCTGAATAATCTGCGCGGTTTACGTCCCCGAACTCACGAGAACACCACGTCGAACACCTCGCCCAGGATCGAGTTGCGTCCGATGGGCCGCTGGTGCATCTCGCAGATGAACCGCAGCAGGCAGGGCCGACCCTCGACGCCCACCGAGCTGAGCGAGCGCTCGATGGAGCCGAAAATCTCCAGCTGGTCGTGGGCTAAGCTGCGACCTTTACCGCTGCGGAGAGAAGCCGTCATGGGTTAGCGAGACGTAACGTGGGCATTAGGTATGAGATAAATCAACAGCGCATATGACGCATGGTTTGTTTCACCTTTCACAGTGACTTATTGTCTCATGGCCCTCAGATACTGCACGATTTTGTCTTACACCTTATCATTTATTTTTTAATTAGTTGCGTGAACAAGAACGCAGTTTGGGGTGACATAAATTCACAACGATATGCATTGACAATGACAATAAAAATATTTTAATGCATGATGAAAACATGAGAGGTATGAACGTTCAACGCTAATCACTAATCAGAGGGAAAACTAAAGCTGAGCGAGCGGCGAGCGGGCGGGCGCGGCGGATTGTCGGTCTGGCGGACACCCACCGTCCGCTAGACGAGGCGTTCTCGTCAAACAGCGTGTCCAGAAAGATGATGATGGGCATGAGGAACTGAACGATGCCGCGCAGTCGCGGCGTGCCGTCACCGTCGGCATCGGTCAGCACGGGCAGACTGATGGTGGTGGTCATCGACCAGAAGGGCCGTGAGAAGGCCAGGTCCGACTGAAACAGACAGCAGAGCCCGACTGAGAACAGCGCCCGCCGCGACCGACCGCCGCCCGCCGCGCCCGCTCGCTCACGGTTTACCTAAGGGGAAGTGAGAACTGGATAATAGCCCCACATACCCGCGCTTATCGTCTAAGTCGAAAAGATCCGTGATCAGAATGCTGGAGGTGAGCACGAGCAGCATGGAGCCGCGGAAATTGACGTCGTCCCAGGTCCAGCGGAGGGGCGGCAGGCCGACGATGTTGCGCACGCGGAACCGAGCGCCCTGAATGCTGAACCGCTGGCTCTCCAGCAGCTGCTGTAGCACCATTGTGAAGTGACGGAGGGACGGCTGGTGCTGGACTGATGTTATCAGTCTCGCTGAGGACATAAACGGAAATTGTCGCGGACTACGCCTGGCGACGGGAGCGACCGTCTGTTCGCTGCCGTTTAATGTTACCGAAATATAGCTCAGAAAGAATTTCCACCAGCAATGCGTTGGAAAATATGGTACAATAGTTACCTACAGGCATGGGAAGCAAATTGATACAGTTGAAGGAAGTGTTCAGACATTTTTGTTAATGCGTTGTGGCTCATCTGAGTCCAATTTACGCTGATTTTAGAATTATGTTTGGTTCGGTTATCAAACCAAGCGGCTGTTCTCATGAAATCACGCCATCACTTAAAACACTTAGAAACCTATTTACATTCTTTTGCTATAGGCAAGGTAACAATTTCATTCCAATTTTTCTGGCTATCCGTTTTGTTATTAGGTACACTTACTTGAACTAAAAGACGAGGGAAAATAAGAAAAATGTGTATGGTATTATCAATTTAGGTATACGATGTTTGCTTTGCAAATAGAAAATGGCATTGTTCAACAAAACGTATCTTACAAGATGCATGATTCGTGATTTGAAAAAAATGAGACTCTTTTACGACTAAGTCAAGATCTTGCAAAAAGGCATACGACCGTAATAACTAGACTTCCTTTTTCGAATCGCATTTTTACATTTCACAACCATTTAAGGACAAATTAAACATCAGGCACTTACCATGAATGACGAGCTCGGAGAACGGCGACAAAACACAGCACAACTATAACTGAACCGGTGCTGACGAGGCTACCGAAGCCAACAGTTGGACTCCGCAAGCAGCTTTTCACGACAAACGTCTTCCAAGTCTGTCCTTACTCCTAAGAGCGGAGACTGTGTGTCTGCGCGGCGGCTGGTGTCGGCTCCGACTGCCCTCTCGACTCGGGTCTGTCTCGGTCGACACCTCTGGACGCTCCGTTACGCGCGTCTCCCTCACGTGCGGCCCGGGCCGGTGTCACCCGGCGACCCGAGCCCGCTGTTTGCCGAGCGGCGGGTGCAGGCCACGCCTCCACCGCCCGGAGAACGCTAATTGGTGTCAATCTCTGGACAAACGGGCTGCTATCGGCTGGCGCGGCCGGGCAGGGTGTGAGCTCGGCATCGGCCACCCGAGCCGGAAAATGCCCCGCCCAGGACGGACACTCGGACATTGTTCGAGGATTCTAAGAACTAGACAGAAGTAAGTGGTTTTATATGATGATTCTATGCAAAGAATCATGCGGTAGCAGCGGCCATATTCTGTTTTTTAATTAAGCCTGTTGAGTTGACCTGACCGGTTGTCCTGAGACCGTGGGTAATGGGTATTGCCAGTCGTTGCGTCTCCTGACGGCGCATTCACTCGTTGTCCGCGTAGATCTAGCTCAGTAAGAGGAGAAACAACGACGAGTCGGGTCGTAAGTAGTAAGTAAATACCTTCTCTCAAATAGACCATGGGTCGTAGTCGTACCATACCTTCTCCTTCCGCTCGGCCACTTACATAGAGCTGAACGGGGGTCGAGAGGGCCGAGACTCATCGGTTCTCGCGGGATGAGGTGGATGGCCACATCTGGTGTCACCCAATTGACGTTCATTTTACGATCTCTCGGATTGAATAAGATAACTGAAGCTGAACCTTGATCTGCAAACCTCTCCGTTATGCTTGAGTTTGGGCGCATCTGATTTTTAGGTCAGGGCATGACCGGGCATCCCATCGTATGACGTATCATGCCGGGAGATGGGCGACGTTTCTCGTTCCCTGCACAACTTGACTACCCGTAGCGACGAGCAGTAAGCGAACTTCAGAAGAACGCAAACAATCATGAAAATACCAGCATCGTTTATTACAAGGTCGGGTGAAACTTCAGGTCAGCAGAGGTCATCATGTCACTAAATGTCAAATTATCATCATTTCGACGTTTTTTCTCGACAAATTGACATACAGCTCGTCAGCTAAAACCGTTAGAAAATTGCGAAGTATCCTTCAATATTTATTTTTAAAGAGATATTGAAGGATACTTTCACTTACTCTTTTAGAACGTCAAAATTGATTTTTCTAAACGTCTTTCCTGCAATTGCTTTTAGCAAACAGCTTGTACCTATGACATTGATTTTGCTGGCATCGTATTTCTCACGTGATGCGCCGAGTGAACTATAATTTTCACTTTTAACCCGCGAGTTGCTGGGGGGGGGGGCGTTAAACGCCCCCACTTTTTTCGCCGGGCCATAGCATAAAAACGGCGCGCCGCAGGCGCGCCAAATTTTGGGTACCTGTAGGGAATTGAATGAAGTTTATTGACACAAAGTTTCAAAAAAATCGGTCGGAAAATTTTTGAGATATCGAGGTTTTAGTGACGTCATGATTTCTGAGTTTTCGACCAAAAACGGCATTTGTTCAAAAAATCATATAAAATCACAGAATAGACATACAGACATGCCGTAAACGCCATTAGACTGCCAATACCATGAACAATCAAATGGCTATCTTCGATTATTGATTATCGTTCCGCATTTTCCAAAATCTTGAACTGAATCTTGGCAATTTCTCGTGACTACTTCACGACCATGATACATGCATTTCTTAAATTGAGGTTTTTGAGCCAAACACGTACACATATGATAAAATGAATGTGACCATCGTGTTCTACGCCCCAAATTCCCCTTAAAACATGTGTCACAGGCTGCGAATATCAGTTTTGATTTTCGGGGATATGTGCCTACCCGGTTGACCTGACCTTGACCCTGACCTATGCTTGATTGACCCCTACATGGAGCTGACACTCTTGTAGGCCTTATATGATGGATTGTGCACCGTTTTAACAGAGTTTATGACGAGAGGCGCCCATTGCGAAGTCCTGAAATCCATGCTACTGAAAGCCCGATTTCAGGTGTTTGACCTGACCTTGAGCCGACCTGTGACCTCAAAATTCAACTTTGAAGTACTCATCTGAAACGTTACGTCGCGTTCTTTCGTTTGCCGCCTCGTGCGTTTCGCTGCGCCTATTGGTTCTCGAGTTATCGGCTGGGGGCGTTTAACGCCCCCCCCCCCCCAGCAAACGGTGGGTGGCGAAATACCCCAGCAACTGCCGGGTTAAGAATGGTCGAAGCTTTAGGACATGACCTGAACGGAAAAGGTCATATTTAATATTAGTCGATCCGTCGAGGTGTTTTCATCAGCATACTATAGTATGCCTCTGTGACAAGTTATCGTTGAAAAAGTGTAGTGTTGACCTTTCATGACCTAAGGTAAACAGGGGTAAACATGGCCTACGAGTCACGGATGCACTTTTGCAATTAAGCAGCCTAATGATTTTGTTCTAAAGAGGATCAGTATATAAATTCTTCAAAGCAACCTTGCAGTCGATGTAGCTATTGGTTCTTTGAGAGCTGATGCTTTTATCGCTCGTCGTCTGCTGAAGTTATTTTACGTCTGTGACTGATGAATGTCACTTTTGACGAATCTTTGAATGGGCTATTAAACCGTAGGTGGATCAGTCCGAGGCTGGAGTCGGCAGTCTGATAAAGGGGACACTCCGACTCGCCATGGGAGAAGAGCGATGACAATCCAGCTTTACAGGAGACGGCAGGCAGGGAATAATCGGGCATTTGACAGTGACGGAACATAAGACGTTAACTGAGAAACGAACGACAAGAGTGGAGGGAGACTGTTGTCTCGGAGTTACTATACGGGAGCCCGTAGACAACAGACAGCGGTTGGACGGTATAGGTGCATAACGCCGAGCGCGCCTCGGCAGGCGCCGCCGGGCCGTGCAGGACCACCCAGCCGGCGCCCCGGTGGCCGGGCCATCCTCACCCCGCGGTACGGTCACTCCACTTCCAACTCATCGCCACTTGTGGCGGCCGAGTGTTATCTCACGGAGTCGATGGGCGTCACAATGAGGCAGGTCAGCGGTATGCTGATGAGGCTGGAGAGCGGCCCGTCAGCCGGCCGAGGAACCGACTGACCTCCGCTGGCGCGAGAGGAGAGGAGAGGAATTTGTCGGCGCCCAGCCGTTTAGCGTGTGCGGATTGGACACGATAGGCTGGGAAGTTATTCAGGCGAGATGTGGCCGAGTCAATATCGAATGGGCATGTCGTACACCGTGAACGGCGCCAAAACGTGGGCAAATACCGCGTATACACACAAACCATTAACTCAAAACAGCGATAACTACTTTAGGCGTGAAACATGCTTACCAAAACGCGGGTCAACGGCATTTACATACAGAGTTCACTTGGGCTTTCACCTTTCGGGGTGGCCGATTATATTCAACATTCATTCACTTACCTACTTACCTTGTTGTGTGAATTGTGAATTGGGTAACTATTAGCTTGTGAAGTGTGGTTGCTTAGTTTTTGCTCACTGACAAAAACCTTCGGGGTGCAGTTAGATGCGGTAAATTAAGGCAGAACACTTCAGTGCCATAGATGCGATTACCTTCCCTCCTGCAAGTTCCCCTTCGGGCGTGCGTGGAGAATCAATAAGTTGGCGAGGGCCAATACTCGGTTTCTGCTCTTTTGTAATAATAATGCATCTAATTTATTTTATAGGTACTATTGTTATTTTTATAGGTAGGGGAGAGTGGTGCAGGAGGCCCCCCCTTAAGCTCAGTTGCTATTTTTAGACAACTGATAATATTTAAGAGCAAACGTGTGCATGCGCTGTGAGCATGCATCATTTTCCCATACATATTTGCATTCAAAATGAATCTAGGGGGTACAAAAACCGTAAACTTTAACATTTTGGAAAAAGTTGCAAAAGGGCCTCTTACACTATGGGTATGGTAAGACGCCCCCCCCCCCCGGGTGTTTCACAAGTCAAGTCGACTTGTAAAAGACGCTTTGCGAACACAGCTGCAAGGCCTTTTATTTCGAAAAGCTAAGCAAATACGGTGTTATCGAAACCAAAAACACTTCCAAAGCGCTCGAACAATGCGAAAACTAGCACAACCAAACGCTGATGACCAACGAAAATTGTACCTACCTATTAGGAGAAAAGAAACAGAAAAAAGAAACAAAAACAAACTCCTTGAAAAAAGAATGCCACGCCTGCCGCAGGTGCAGGCGTTTTATCATCGGGGGCGTTTTTTATCGGGGGGCGTTTTATCATCCTCGAAGGGAGGGCCTCTTAAAAAAATGCAGTGTTTTAACGTCACAATATTTATGGTTTATGAGACATTTGCAGCGCACCAGAACAGGGTCTATTCTGAAGCTAACATGTGACAATTTCGATGAGATAAGATTGTAGTTTATAGCCATTGTTTTTTTCAGATATGTAAGGGTGATAAAGATGCATATATCTAGCAAGTAAAGGGGCAAAAACAGAAATAGACTTACCAAAAGTCGCTGCGACGCACCTGATACCTCAGGTTTCGTGAGTTGTTGTTTCAAGAGGGCTTCTGCTTTACGAGAACATTAAAAAATAAATAACATTATTGGTTTGGTAAAAAAAGCGATGGGGCCTCTTACCGACCCTGGGCGTCTTACACGGATCTCCCCTACTATTGTTATTAGTATTTATTATAAGCGGGCCTCCCTTGGCAGAATTGGGTGCCGTTCACCCCGGTCCAATAAGTTTCATTCAGCCCAAAAATTCAGTCCAAAAGGCACCTCCCTCTAATTCCTTGTTCTCGGGATTACGGTACCTATCTATATCGGTAGGTATATGAACACATCCTGACCTGGCCTAAATGCATGAAGACAACATCTGTGATCAAAACTAGCATGAAATTCGTGATCAGCGCCCCAAAAAACCTCACAACAGCTTCCCTTTACGAAGTTCTAGCAGGTCCAGATTTTCCCGACTTTTGGGTCATTGACCGGCCAACCAATGACCTAGGACCTTAAAATTTGGTATCATCGGCTTCCTCTCGTCACGGGCAACACGCTCGTTTTTCCGCGAGGCTCTAACTCAATCAAGATTCAAGGGCCGAACGGCAGCGGGGTCCCCCCCCCTCCCTCCTTACGCGTTGGACGCTGGAAAGCGCCGCACACATGTGAGGGTAAAATTATATAGATTCCTGTCTGATGAAATCAACCGAGGTTAACCCGCGCCCTGGTGGGGTCTGTTTATAACGCGACCTGGTGGGGGGGGGGGGGCTATTTTTTGCCCCCCCCCTCGTATCTCCGAAACTACTGGACGGATCCGCAAAATTCAAACGGCGTTCGAAAGGCTTGTCAAATTTGTTGAGGGAACCCAAATTTCATTGACCTCGGGGTCACCGATGACGTCACAGGTCAGGTCAAAGATGAAATGTTTCACCGTTCACGGGTCTTCTAGGGAATGCGCTATAACACCGAGGAAAACGCGTTTTGTCGAGAATCAGCGATAGGGCGTCAGTTGCCTAGTAGATACATTGCTATTAGAGGTCACTGACAATACCAGGTCAGGTCACAGGTCAGGTCACGCAAGGGTCACAGGTCAGGTCACATGAGCCCAACTTTACAAAGGTTGTGTGATGCATGCTTTATGGCCAATTTTTCATTTCCAACTCAATGGTGCTGGTTACAAGACTATCAGGTACGGCTTAGGTCACTTTCTGGTGAAGTTCAGGTCAAGGTCAGGTCAAGGTCAGGCCAAAAAAGGTCAAATTTTAAAGTTGATAGTTTTGCATAAAATGGGTATTGTTTCGATGCAGCTAGTCACGGGGAGTCTAATGGTGGTCTTTGTTTTGCGCTACTGGGTCTAGAATTGCTAAAAATTGAGTTTGAAAATTTGACGTCATCAATTTTGAACAGTTTTTTTCGCTATAACTTCGCCAAAAAAGAGGTATCAATCTCAAATTTGGTATGTGGATGGAAGGCGGTAAGGACTATCACATATATTCCGGTTTTTGCGAAATTCAAAAAACTTTTTGGATTTTTCGATAATTATATCAATTTTTTTTTTATTTTTGGGGGTCAAAATCCAAAAATTTCAAAAATCCGAGATAGCAGTTTTGTAGCCCTGTCGATTCTACAGCTTTTATGTCTTTATCGTTTTTCTGTATTTGCAAAGCTTTAGGCCTGACAGCTCTTCCCGCGAAACCCTTTTTTAGGGTCGAAAACGGCAGAACATGACGTCACTCTGACGTCATTTCCGGCCAACATATCATAGCCTTTGGAAACATTTTTGGTCACAATGTGTAAAATTGATGTCCGGGAGGCATAGGCGTCGCCAGAGATTTTCGGTTGGGGGGGCAAAATCAACTTTTGTGTTAAAACTTGCCTTTCCCCAGTCTTAACACTCGTTTTACACATCATTCGACGCGCAATGGTGCAAGGAATCCGATGGTGACAAAGGTTTCCTTCTAGCTATTACATGTACTTTTTTACAGAAAAATTCGAAATTTTGAAATTTCATGGCAAAAACGACTGGTAGAATTATAGTAACTATATAGTGGCTGCGATTGCCGACGCACTGCAGAGGGCCCCTGTGTAGACGCTCGACGCTCATGATCATTACCCAGAAAAAGGTGAAAAATGTTCCATTTAATCGGATCACACTGCTAAAACCTCCATTCACGCATGCATGCAGAGGTTTTACGTGAAATGCATAGGACTTATCCCAGCCGTCGATCGTAGCTAAATTGGGCATTCGGCGGAGAGTGAATGTCGGAAGTGTGAATCGGAAGTAATTCATCTTTGCTCCAGTGAGAGGGAGTGTTTTGTTCACTCGAGTGTGAACAAAAGTTTTTTTCGTGTGAAGGGAAGCGCTGCAAACGCGAACAAAAACTGTTAAACGGAACCAAAAGTTACGCACGGCATAGCGGCAAGGGATCCCTTAGAGATAGGTTTGGGACTTCCAGGCCATTTCAGGCCACTCAGGGTCAGTGCTGACTCTCAGAAGCATGCTTAGGACTTAGGAGCCCGGAGATCGGCGTGGGTCACCTCAAATATTTACGTGTACGTTGTGCTTTAGGGCTTTCCGAGCCCAAGGTGGGGCCCTCAGAAGCAGCCAGTGTGGGCGGCGGGCGCTAAGAGACTAGGCCCAGGGTGAGCCTGGAGCCCCCGGATAAGTGTGAACCCTCGAGGTCTGTGTCGAACCCCTAAGGACCCTATGTAGGGACATAATAAACATTTGTTGCGGCCCTCAGAGGGACACGTGAGCTAAGACCCCTCAGATGCCGGCTTGGGGTTAGCTAAGTCTGTCGCCTCAAAAGTTTGGCTGAACTATCAGAGGCCAGTTAAGGTTCTCAGAAATGTTTGAAGTCTCAAAGATCCCTGTATGGGCCCTCAGAGAACATGGACACCAGTGGGACTTTGAGAGGCCTTGGGCCCTCTGAAAGCTTCTTTAGGGCTCAGTGGAGCTCCTTAGGAGCCTTTGTTTAAAGCAAGCTCATGAGCCCTGCGACACTTGTACGGTACTTAAGCCTGTCGCAGACATTTGACGGGAGTTGGGAAAGGCCCTGACTTATGAAAATCAGCTGTAAATGAAATAAAGAACGAACTTAGAACATGGAAGGAATCACATCATTGACATTTCCGAGTCTGGACTCGGAGTCTTGAATATTTTGGCGACTGCGAGTCAGACTTTGGTTCGAACTGCACGCTCCAACCGAGTCTGACCTCACAGGCATTCTCAGAAAGGTACCCCCATTTTTCCCGACTCCAAAATCTCATCGGATCTGTATCGCTCTCAGGGGATGCCCAGTCCGAGGTTGGGGGGGGGGGGGGGCAAGCTGCCCCGCTTGCTCCCCCGTGGCGACGCTAATGCCGGGAGGGTACTGAAAGTTTGGTGACGATCGGCGCAGCGGTTTTGGAGATATATCGAAAAGTCTGGAGGGGGGGGGGCAAAAAATAGCCCCCCCCCCACCAGGTCGCGGGCTAAAAGATCATGGAACACCTCGAGGCTCGACAAGAGGGTCGGCGACGGGCGCCCAATCCAGATCAGGTGAGCGAACTTATCATAGCTTGACTGGTGCTCTCAAGCTTGTGGCGACATCTATATCACTGTTTGGGGCGACATCTGTCAAAAATTTAGCAATCTTGTCGCCTTTTGGGAACAGCTGATTTATTGTAGCAAGTGCGTCGTATCTGGCTCCAATTCTCAAGATACGGATTATTTTAAATAATATTTGCATTATTAGAGCCCGTTTACTGGCTGGTGAGTTGTAATATGCTGGAATAATTTTATCTCTATTTATCCGAATTCATTGTTTTCAATGAAGTAGCTCATACTATGTTTCTGCTAATGTCAATGTATGAACAGTTTTCTAGGTTGATGCATGGTTTGTGACGATATTGATATGGTGTGGTTTTTATTCAAATTTTGTCCTAGAGTGCAAAAGAAGGATTTGACCCTGATAGTGAATGATACTGTTAATACTTACATACCAATATTATAAATCAAAAGTGCCCAAAAGTTTTAAATTGCATGCCTATTGTTTGTGTACGGATAAAATGGATGCTTTTTGTTGTTGTTAAAGGGACCCTCCCACCTTAAAGGAAATAGTTCACTTTCACGAAATTATTTTTTTTGCAATGGATTTGTGATTTTTTATGTTCAAAATGATCAGCAAAGAAAATAAAACCTTTTTACAGCAAAAGATTATTTTCTATATTTTTGATATAGGAAGAACTTTTCAGTTTCTGTAAGGCACACGCGATCCAGTATGAAAAGAGCATGGGTCCCGAAAATTCTTAGAAACTAGAGAAATTATCGCGGCCACCGGCATTTGGGCGATCTGCTCGTGCTTTTGTTACTGGAGCGCCTCACTGGAGCGAATTTCTCTAGAGTTCTCGTAGATAATTTCTGTAGTTTCTGAAGAATTTTCGGGACCCATGCTCGTTTCATACTGGATGCGAATATATGCAAGGCACACATCCTCAAAACGCAAGACACATTTTTCGGGACGAGAAATAGAATATTTTTGCCTAGGGTGATCGTTGGGCTGTAAAAGCTCCTGATTTATGCTCGTCTCAGCCCAAGCTACGGAACTGCTATTCCAGTTCAAAACCCATGTTAAAATGTGAACTATTTCCTTTAACATTAGCTTTGAGTTGAGATAGCCAAAATGGGGTCCCTGGCTCACAATTACCGGTTTCGGCACTCACAACATCGAGAAATGCCTTAAATCAGAAATATTGAATTTCAAAATTGCAGCATTTTGATTCAGAGGGGCTAATGCATAGGAATACCATAGGTGGGCATCGTTCCCCAAAATTGTAACTTCGTTACTCGTTCCTCCGTTCCTTCAAAACGTGACTTCCGTTACTCGTTCCTCCGTTCCTCTGCATATAATGTAACGGAAGTTCTTTAGTCCGTTACTCCGTTACAGCAAAATAAAAAAAAACGTTAAAATGTTGTGTATTTCACACATTTTAGAGACTATTCTGATGCAAACCAAATCTACCGAGAAAGGGGAATGCCCATACTGCAACGCCGGCTCATTTCGGAAGGCCAGTATACTAAGGGCATCTTCCTTCTTCAAGTCAGGGCTGCTCAATAATCCACTATTCCGCTGCTGCATTAATGTCTGACGTCTGTGGGTTAGCTGAAAGATCAACCCGCTCGGACAACGAAAAGTAACGGAGGAACGCAAGGAACGGACCAAACTGTAAAGTGTAACGGAGGAACGAACAACCAATGTAACGGAAGTTACTTGGTCCGTTACCCTTTTTAATATGTAACGAGTCCGTTCCTCCGTTCCTAAAAATTGTAACGGCGTTCCGGAACGGAGGAACGGAGGAACGGATCGTGCCCACCTATGAGGAATACCCCTCTGAATGTGTGACGTCAGCGCAGATATCTAACGATTTTTAAATGTTTGACTAAAACGTTTTGTAGCACGCGGTGGTATATGCTGCTTTGCGCGCAACAAGTGCCGCACTTTCAGCTGCCAAACTATTCCTTCCAAATAAAGTCGCTAGGAACAGCGGAGATCCCAAAAAGTAAACAAAAGTAAAAGTCTAATATCTTGAAAACCGGTGAATATTTTTCGGTGAAATTTGGTAGATATTCGTTTTCGCTCTTTCTGAACCGAGCGACATCACTTTCATGCCAATTCATAAACTTTTTTGAAGGTGGGAGGGTCCCTTTAAAGGGACCCTCCCACCTTAACATTAGTTTTGAGTTGAGATAGCCACATTGGTGGCCATGGCCTGAAAATACCGGTTTGGGCATTCACAACATCGAAAAATGCTTTAATTCGGAGATATGGAATTTCAAACTTGCAGTTTTCGGATTCTAAGGGGCTAATGCATTGGTATGCCCCCTTAGAATTTGTGACGTCAGCGGAGATCTAACGATTTTTAAATCTTTTACTAAAACGTTTGGCAGCACGCGGTGGTATATGCTGCTTTGCGCGCAACAAATGCCACACTTTCAAATAAAGTCGCTAGGAACAGCGGAGATCCCAAAAAGTAAACAAAAGTAAAAGTCTAATATCTTGAAAACCGGTGAATATTTTTCGATGAAATTTGGTAGATATTTATTTTTGCTCTTTCTGAACCGAGCGACATCACTTTCATGCCAATTCATTAACTTTTTTGAAGGTGGGAGGGTCCCTTTAAGTTTTTATACTATTGAAAGCTAATTATGACAAATATAATGGATGTTTTCATGTTTTACAGAGTTACAAAGAGTGGCTACCCTTGGTCTGCCCTACCATAGGTATCCTATCGTCAATTGACAATTTGCAGGCATTGGTGCGATAAATGGTAAAAATGTTTTTCATATTGAAAAATAATATCCCCAATAGCTAATATAATTTTATCAGATTATCATAGACTGTGGAATCCCTGGCCTGTTACTAATTTTCAAGTCACATCAGGTGCCAAATTGAGTGAGTAACAACTACAAGCAGCAGGCAATATTATTATTGATATGCTGCTAGAATGTTAACTGGCTGTTTGTTTATGTTGAAAACAGTACAAAATTTTAGAAATAAATTCAGCTCAAAAATTGAACAATTCACAAGGAAAGAGCCCCCAAGAGCCTTTGGCATTGACCCTGCTTTCCACCTTCTGATCACTCAATTTGAATTCTTGGTATGTGACAATCTAGAGTCCAAAGTTGAACGTCACGCATGCCCATTGCCCCATATGGCCACTGGCCAGTCATTCTCACTGACTTTGGCTGGCCATGGGCTGCCACAAACCACAACCATAACCTGTCAGGAGGCTCGTAAAGATCGAGCGCCCATCGCGCCTCGAGCCGACTTTTTTAACCGGGACACGTGCTCTCACCACGAGGGGTCAAGCCCTCGCCGGCACAGGCCATGTTGCGTCCTTCGACGGCAGAAGGGTGGTGGTATGGGTTGGTTGGTTGGTATGACCCCGTTCGCGTTTGGCCCCTGATCGAGCTAGAGCTTCGCGAAAAAAAAAACGAGCGTGCTGCCCGTGACCAGAGGAAGCCGATGATACCCAATTTTAAGGTCCTAGATTATCGGTTGATCTTCCAGGTCAGGTCAATGGCCCAAAAGTCGGGAAAATCGGGACCTGTTAGAACGTCGTTAAGTGTGACTGATGTGTGGTTTTTCGGGGTGCTGATCACGAATATCATGCAGACATGCTAAATAGTTTTCATCACAGATTATATCTTTATGCATTTAGGCCAGGTCGGGTCAGGTCAGGTCAGGTCAGGTCAACCAGCAGGGGTCCTGCCGGATATTCGTAGTACCTACGTGTCAACCGTCTCTGACATGTTACAAAGGCACCACATGTTATGATGGCACCAAAATTACTTCGAAAATGTTAAAATGGTTGCTGAATTCGAATTCAGCTTAAAAAACACTAGCCTAGAAACATGTAAAACTCGAAAAAGTGGACCGAGGTCATCAAAGGTCAATGATCGGACCTGACATACAGGTGACCTTGACATCCACCCTAATGCATGGGAGCAACATCAAGTCACATGTTTGACCACTTGGAACCACGAAAAGACTGCAAACGCGCGGCTGATGCGAGCCGACATACGCTGAATCGCGATTCCGGCCAAACATGGTCTCAAAAAGTAGGTCATAGGTCAAAGGTCACTTATGTCAGGGTCATGAAATTTTCAGGGTTGGTGTAAAATTGATTAACGCGAGGGTACTGAAAGTTTTGTGTCGATCGGCCGCTTTTTACGCGAGTTATTCGCGATAAACCTTAGGGGGGAGGGGGGGGGGGTGCATCAACCCCCCGTGTGCCGGCGAAGGCTAACGCTCTACCGACTGAGCTATGGGAGCGACATTTAAAAGATGTTTTCTCTCACTTACCAAAGCTATCGCTGCCCTTCCCACAGCCTGCAGCACGCGGAGCACCTCTCATCTCTGGCGCTCCCGGCACCGTCAGACGATGGGGCGGGCGGACGTGGAGCGCGTCGTCCGCCAGCTGGGGGGCCAGCTGGCTCGCCCGCAGCTGCTCAGTGTGCTGGTCGAGGTGCGGAAGCGCGTCATCAGCACCAGGCCGGGCCTGGAGGAGTTTGTGCGCCAGGGCGGCCTGACGCCGCTGACGGAGCTGCTGAAGCAGCCGCAGCCAGCTGATGTGTTCAATGTGACGCTCAGTATCCTGGGGAACTGCACGGCGCGGTCGGCCGGCCGACAGCACTTTGTTCAGCACGGCGGGATTCATGCCGTACTGAATGTGGTGAGAATTCCTCTTGGGTGACATTTGAGAGGATAACATGTGGTATTGGCTGTTTATTTCACGTTTTTCTGAGCTATAGGTATTTTTGTTTTCCGACGTCGATAATGATGTTAAAACAAATTTACCTATCTTGCTTTTTTTTTGTTCTCCAGAAATGGACGTCTTTCTGAACATAAAGGAGTCTTGGGTTGACAGTTATTGCCTGCTCGGTCCGCTAACAGTCCCCCATCCACCGTCTCCAGTTACAGCTGGTCGCGGACGCGGAGGTGGCGAACCGGGCGTGCCGCACGCTGGCCAACCTGGCGCAGGAGCCGGCGCTGTGCCGCACTCTCCTCCAGGAGGACACACTGGACCTGGTACAGTCGCTGATGGCAGTCGACCAGCCGCCGCCGCCTCCAGACGACCTGAAGACCACCGTGTTCCGGCTCTGGAGGTGGGGAGCTATCGGTGTCACGCGGTGTAGAAAAGATCATATCGCTGTGGGATGCTAACAATTCAGTTGTGAGCTAGTGGTGTCACGGTGTAGAAACGATCATATGGTTGTGGGGTGCTAACGCTTCCCAATCTGATGCGGTATTGTGGATGGTCAGTAGCTCGGTTGGTGTTTGGTTGAGTCATTCGTTGGAAACTGGTGAAGTGTTTGTTTCGTACCTGATCGTGCTGACCTGTGTTTGCTAAGCAGCTGGGTTACGGCAAATTACCTCGTCATCCTGACTGTTCAACAATTTTGGACAGTGTCACTTATTATTCTTCTTGCGATCAATCACACTCTTCAGTTCCATGTAATGTTTGCAGTGCTCTCCATTTCTGATTACCGCCATTGTTTCATCTAGCCTCGTCTAAGTGTAATCTGTGACTGATCGTTTTGCTATCAAGTATCGCCCCTCTGCATCCCGTGCCCCCGTGACGCCTGTTCTCCGGCCGGTGCGCAGGCTGCTCGCGGACCGGGACAGCCACCGGCGCCGGCTGCTGCGTACGGAGTGTCTGGTCACGGTGGCCGGTGCGCTCGGCTCACAGAACAGGCAACTGGTGCGGGAGGCGCTCCGCACACTGGCGCACTTTGCCGCCGGCGCCGCCCGCGAGACGGGCGCCCAGGTGGGTGGGTCGGGAACGGACTCAGGGGGCCAGCGGGAGGCTAGCGCTAATTATGTCCGCAGAGAACCAGCAGATAATCTGTTCAATGCTGATATTTCAGAAATTATTTCGTAACAATCAAATCATGACGCACATCGTAGCGTCACAATTACGTCACATATGCCCAACTTTTATGTAAAATCTGGCATGCTCGACGACTGAGTCGATATTGAGGGCTCGTTTCCTTTTCCTTCAGATGCAGCAGAGCGCGGAGGCCATGCCGTCCCTGCTGCGGCTCTGCGGCGCCGAGTGTGACAGCGGCAGTAGCGGCAGCTCTGAGACCGGCGGCGGCAGGCCCGAGAGTGGCTCCGAGTCCGCCGCCGACCCGCCGCCGCCGCCGCCACTCCGCGACCCAGAGCTGGCTGTGTCGGCCTTTCGGCTGGCCCTGACCCTGGCTCAGGAGTCGAGTCTGCGACCCACGCTCGGACAGCTGGGGTTCCTACAGCTGCTCTGGGAGGGGATCCACGGCGCGGCAGCCGCAGACGCTGCCGGAGAGACATCGGGGAGTCGGTCTGGGTCAGAGGAGACGCCCACGCATCAGCCAGAGGCCGGAAACACCCCCGAGGGTCGACTCCAAACCGCAGAGGAGAGTGAGAAGAAGCGAGGACCGCCTGGTGCGTCCGACAGCGGCTCGGGTGCCGGTGCGGGCGGCGGACGGACCGGGGATAAGGCGCGGCACGGACACAGGACCGAGCGACCGCCTACGGACGGCGCCGAGACGGATCAGTCGGACTCTGTCAGCGTTACTTCCGTCACCAGCTCTGTCGGTGAGTGGCCAGGAGTCGCATGTCGGGGGACGGGCAGTGAGCATACTTGAATGCTTTATTTGAAAACAGAATCAGGTGTTTTGGCTGGTACGCTTTCCGCGGCCCTCGGGACGCTCATGTTGTGCTTTAACTGTAATTTGACATTAGATAGTTGGTGCTTTGGTACTCAGTCATGTCTCAGATTTTTTTCGCACTGTACCGGTGATACAACCACCCTCGCCTACCGCAGTCCATTGACCTCCCGCCCGCTCCGTCCACAGACCGCAGCTCTCTGGTGAGCGCGCTGTGCCTGTTCTGCTGGGAGTCGGTGAACCGTGCGCGGTTCCGCTCGCTCGGCTACCTGCCCTGGCTGGTGCGCGTGCTCGGCGCGCGGGGCGAGTCGGAGTCGCTGCGCCGCCGTGTACTGCACGCCCTCTTCCAGTTCGTGTACGATGACACGGGGTTCGGCCAGATGAAGCGGGCCGGTCTGATCGCGGTGCTGGTGGGTCGCCTGCAGGCGTTGGTCGCCGGCTGGGAGCGGGAGGGCCGGAGCGGTGACCAGCGCTGCTGTCGGCGCAGCGTCAGCCCGGTGTCCTCAGAGGACAGCGAGGACGGCAACAGCAGCGACGGCAGCGGCTACCGCGCCGACAGCCCCACCTACCGCCAGGTGGAGCGGGAGATCGAGTCGTACCTGCAGCAGGTGCGGCGCGCCGAGCCGGCCGCCGAGCGGCTCTTCAAGTCGTTCAGTCCGACAGACAGTCTGGCCAGCTCGCCGCTGCGTTCACCGGACGTCAGCCCGCCCGGCTGGTCGTTCTCGGCCCGCTCTCCACGCTCTGCGTCCCCGTCCGGGAGCTGGTCCGAGTCGCAGTTCTCACCGCCTGTCTCACCGGGCGGCTGGCAATTCTCACCGCCCGTCTCACCCGCTCCTGGCGGGTCCCTCTCACCGCCGCTGTTCCCGGGAGGCGGGCGGTTCTCCCCGTCAGTATCGCCGGCGAGTTCGGGCCCCCAGTCTCCGGTGGAGTGTCCGGGAGGGGGACAGTGGAGTCCCCAGGTGTCTCCGCGTGGCGCTGACTCCCGGTCACCTCCACTAGAAGACCGGCCGAGCGGGGAGCTCAGTCCTCAGATATCCTCAGGCGGCGGCGAGATGCGATCCCCGTCTGTATCCTCCTCCTCCGCCGGCCCTCTCTATCACTCCCCGCCTCTCCACTCACCCAGCAGCGGCTCGGCACACCGGCCCAGCAAACGCCGGCGACTCTACTCGGCGGAGGTGTCCTCCGAGCCGGCGTCCCGGCGCGGGGAGGAGCACAGCTGGCTGCTGCTGCTGCTCTCGCGGGAGTCGCAGGCGGAGAAGCCGGACCGGCAGCTGGCCAGTGCCGACTGCTGCCGCGCGCTGGTAGACTGTCTGAGACTGGCGCCCCAGCCGCAGCCGCGCGCCGCACGAATACTGGCCAGAATCGGCAGGTGAGCGAGCGGGCTGGGAACCTGCAGCGGGGAAATGGGTTCGTTTAAACGTACCGTGGGGTCATCAGTCTTAGGATTGTTTCGATATTGTTGAATCTACAGGGTCCTACCTCAAACTGGTTTCGAGCATTTTGTCTTATGCTTTTCTGACGCGCTTTTATTATTATGGGTTTGTTCGGGGAGCTCCTCGTCACTCGTCAGTCGTCACGATCTTTAAACATACTTAACGTTCAAATCTACCGACCTCCTTGTATTCGTGTAACTTTACTAGCCCGCTATAACCCGCTCCGTGTCGTTCCCTGTCGCCAGGAACCCGTACTGTTTCCGTCCGCTGGTGTGTCAGCGGCTGGCCTGGCTGTGCGTCAGCTCCCTATCCCGAGAGCAGGCCCAGCCGGCCCTGTCTGGACTCCAGGCCGTGGCTCACTCCGGCTACGGCCAGGGCGTGCTGGAGTCGCTGATGGAGCTCGGAGGCGACACGGCCACGGCGGCAGTCATCACGGCAGCCGTGGTGGTCAGGTGAGCGACCGGGGGTGGTGCGAGACGTGTGTTATAGCGAGATGTATCATCTCTGTTGAGATGATCATCGAGATGTATCATCTCGTTTATCATCTCTGTTGTCTTGTCATCCTTGGCTTGCTCAATCACCGTCCTATACCACATCCTTTGTCAGTTTTTTCTTAACTCTAGTCGTCAATTTTTTAGTGACACTTATTTTAGATCATGCCAGCTGCTATATCAGTAATTTCCTGCAGACTTTAAATGTAACTCAATATTTGCAAGCCGTGTGGCATCTTCTTTCCGCATGTTTTTGACCTGACCTGCCCTGTCTTTTTCTCGCTGCCCCCAGCCTGCAGACCAGCCTGCGTCGGCTGCTGCTCCGGCGGCGCGGCCTCGACCTCCTGCTGGACGAACTGGTGTCCGACGCTGACGACCGGTCGGGCCCGGCGGCCGGCGCGCTGGCCGCCCTCTGCCGGCACCTCGCGCCCAACGACCGACCCCCGCCGTCAGAGGCGACAGAGACGTCATCTCCGTGTCGGTACGTGGGCGAGCCGCTGCCGCCCGATCTGACGCTGGTGCTGTCAGACGGGGAGGTGGCTGCTCGCAGGGACCGGCTGGCCGCCGGCAGTCCGGTGCTGGGCGCCCTCCTCACCGGCGGGTTCCGAGAGGCCAGCACCCAGCGCGTGCCGCTGGGGGAGCTGAGCCGCGAGGTGGCCGCGCCGCTGGTCCATATCGCCTACGGCTGCGGCGCCGGCTGCCGTCTGCTGTCGCGGCTGCCGGCGCGGCTGTGGCTGCCGCTGCTGGCCGCTGCCGACCGGTTCCTGCTGGCGGAGGCTGCTGAGTCGCTGGGCGGCCGGGTGCTGGCGGCGCGCCGGCCCGAGCGACTGGCGGCGCTGTACTGCGCGGCCCGCAGTCAGCCGCTGCAGCTGGAGGGCGCCGCCGGCTGGGGGCTGCAGCTGCTGCTGCTGCGCCGGCTGCTGGCGGCGGGTCCCCGCCGTGCCGCCGACCCGCTCCGCCTGCTGCTCAGAGAACACCGGGAGACGCTGCTGGCCGACCTCCGCGCAGTGGTCGGGAAACTGCTCGAGCCGACCGCGGCCTGAGGGACGTGCGGCTTCCGGAGATGGTGTGATAATAATCGATTGGGGTTTCGAATGGCTCTTTATTCTGATGCAAAGCACAACGCATAATAGCGAGGAGTTATTGCAGTTCTGCTTTCACCAGAATATGTAAGGGCACTTTGCCCCGCCTTGCCCCTACCAGCTCTTTTTTGCCATATCGTACAGGGTGTGACCACGTTTAATGGTTTCCTGGTGTTTGCCGTGCCGGTGCCTCGCATTTTCACAGCATAATTTAGTGGTCTTATTTTTCTCAGGAGCATGTACTGTGATGAGTAGTGTTTTATTTTACCCTAGGTGTCGTTTGTGTCTTGCGTGTAAATGTGTCTACTTGAACAGGCGTGAACTGAACGGCATGCAGTCACTGAACTACTGCAACTGTTTTCTTTTCTCGTTGGGGAAAGGAGCCTGACTATAAAGTTGCCTTGAGCTGCAGCATTGCCATGCGTGCATTATTTTGAGCTTGATAGCGCCGGGGGAACATGCATCGCATATTGTGATAAACCCGGTCTGATGTTATGCAGCTATTGAAGCGATTGTTTCTCTGACCTCTCTGACCTGAGCTATTGTGTCGGACCTCTGTTAGAGTTGTGGCATTTGACTGTGATTTAAGACGGCGATAGGGACTATGGATGGCTAAATGGGCCGCCTTGACCACAATATCGGTAGTGTTGCGGCCTCTGACGAACTATCGATGTCCATTCAAATATATTGTTTTGTGTATTTGATGTTTGTTTACTGCAGGTTCCATCGCTGGGCGGGATGACTTGTGGTCAGTGGCCACCGACGCGACACCTACATATACTGGTCGTACACGACATGGATTAATCAAAAAGCCATAGCGCCTATCGAGCCGTACTGCTGTTGAACTACATGATATAAGTCGGCGATCTTATGATTAATATACCAGAAATAGCGCTACCGCATCTTATGCTGATCCTTGTTATCAACATAAAGGCGCCAATCGCTTGCGGTGCAAACACGCAGGGCAAAAGGAGGTGCTGACATCCGAGTAACCCGCGAACTCGCGGGGGCAGTGCACAGCCAGCCGGGCGCCAGATCTGGAAACGTTCACGGGCTGCGTTGTCGCCGATTTGGCTACTGGTAAACAAGTGTAAATATTTACAACAAATTCATTTGTGTAACAAACAGCTGTTTCCGTTACAAAGTTAAGACTAAACCAGCTCTGTAATGGTCCCGGAAATGTGCCTCTTCTCTTTATGCTCCTAACGTTTCGTTCGATATAGGCATGATGAGATGGACGAGTAACGGTTCAATTCAAATTGAGATGTATTGAAAAATGAGCAGACATCGCGGGAACAGCAAAAGGCAAACGTCACAATTCAGCCTATAAGCATCGATATTGCATCGATTCATCGATGTTGAATGTTGATTGCATGGTATCGCAGTGCGCAACATTGCACAACAAATAAATAGGCGGGTTTGACAGTGGCAGTGACGAGAAGGAACATCAATAGCTCGGGATATAACAGCGAGTTAAAACGTTCAACGCCACATCGCATAGCCATGACTAGATATTTCAGCCCCTGATCGGTCACCGACTATCCGAAGTCACCGTAACAGACCTGCTAAAACAACCACAGTGACATGATATGTTGAAACAGCCAGTCTCCCGCAGCGTTCCAACTTCTCAAAATCACACAGCCGTTGAAATTCAACCCTGCTGCACGACTACCAACAATTTGCCTGCAATTTGATCTCAAGTCTCATTCGATAACCTAGCTAGATACAGCGACCGCATCAAACCTCGGGCGGGGCTGTGGAAGCCACATTTACCAGATGTTCATCACTATGAATCTTGAGAAATTTCAGCGTCAGCGAGTCCATGTCCTGTCCCTTCCTGGCCACATGCACCACCGTCACGCCTGTGTTCGGCGCGATCTTGTGCGCGTCTGCCTTCTTCAGGTTCCCTGAGTAGGTGCTGAACAGAAATGTGATCAGCTCCCTGAGGCACCCACCGTGACCCGTCACCAGTATCCGCGTACACGTATCGGAGAGATGACGGGCACAAATCTCTTTGAAGAACTCCCCCGCACGGTCCCGCACCTGCTCCTGGGACTCGCCACCGTCCGGCACGTACTGGGCCACCGGCAGGTCGGCCGCGGCGGCGCAGCGCGCCAGATCTGCCGCAGGCTTGTTCTCGCAGTTCCCGTAGTTCCTCTCGCGCAAACGGCGATCGTTGGTTATCTCCAGCCCGGCGGCCACGATATCTGCCGTCTGCCGGGCACGTGACAGGTCGCTGGAGTACACTGCGTCGAAGGAGACGCCCCGAGAGTCGAGGTGAGCGCGCAGGGTCTGCGCCTGTTGGACTCCCAGCTCAGAGAGCGGGTAGTCGGACTGTCCCTGGATGACGCCCTGCTTGTTGCCCTCCGACTGGCCGTGACGGACCAGGGTCAGCAGCAGGGACGGGCGCAGCTTTGTCAGCTGGCTGGTGGAGCCGCGTATCTCGGACAGGTTCATAGTGCAATGGTGCAGTGCTTCACAGGTGCGCGGTGAGTGATCTGCCGAAAAGAAAGATATTGTGAAACAACACAGGTCGGTACAGCAGGTGCATATACGGATTCAAAGCGACACTAGCTTAGCACTTAGACGAAACCAAATGTAAAGAACGCAGCCGGCATATCAAATGGTGAAGCTATCGAACACAGTGCATGAGCTGGAATAAAAAGAAAAGAACCATGATTTCCCTCAACATTAGCAATTCAAAGAAACATGCGATAGTAATGCTGCCATCAAGGGAATAAAAAAAAATGTGAAACATTCCACATATTTAAAACATTTTTTTCTCGAGCATATTCTCCGAGGTTTATACCGACTGAATGATGTGCCGGTAGTCGACAGCACGCAACAATTCACGATATCAACCATAGATAAGCGTTTCTCTGATTCACACGATATAAATGGTTAAAAGAACACAACGTCTGCGAGGTACAACTCCCATCCACACATTTTTGTGTGCAAATGAAGCTAGGAACTGCAAATGAAATTGCGACCTCTTTTAAATATTAAAAGTATCTGCACATCACAGGTGAAATGTCAGCCGAAACATTCAAGGCACTCACATGTGTCAATAACACTTATAATCAGTACGAATATAAACATTACAAGCTCAGATGCGAGATCAAACTTCACTCCCAAAAACATCAACAAACGCAAGCAACTGCAAAGTACAACTACTCCCATCAGTCGTCACTTTCCTGCCGCAACACGCAGATGTTCGTCGCTCCCCACTCCCCAGTTCCACAAACGCCACCGTTATCCGTCGTTCCGTCCCCTGCTCCACACGCAGCACTGTGACCCTGTGTTGGGCGTCTTACGGTCATCCCAGGCTCCGGTATCCCCACCTGACACCTCTGCCAGAGCACCAACCAGCTCGTTATTCAGTTGTGGGAGATCTTCCAGTTGTGGGTGACAACCTGCACACTTGGACAGCGCGGCGATAGGTGTCTGGCGCAGATGTTCCGCAGGAACTCAGTGGCCCGTTGACGCACCTGGTGGACTGGCGGGTGTCACTGCCCTTTGGAATCACGAACGGACCTCAGCGGCCGTCCGCGCCCGGTGACAACAAACTAAAGTCGCCGTAGCGCCGGGTCCGTAGGCGCCGGACGGAGGTCATTTTCACATGGAATTGGAGACCATCAGTCAGGATATGGGCCGTCTGCCGGGCGCGAGACAGATCGCTGGAGTACACCTCGTCGAAGGAGACTCCACAAGAGTCGAGGTGTGTGCGCAGGGCCCCAGCCTGCTGTACCCCAAGCTGAGACAGTGGGTAGTCTGACTGTCACTGCATGATGCCCTGTTTGCTACCTTTGGACTGGCCATGACGGACCAGGGTCAGCAGCAGGGATGGATGCAGCTTTTTGGTCAATGGCTTGTCATTTGGGCAGTGTGGACAGTGGTCCATGCTACAAATGGATCAGGCAGTTAACAAAAGAAGTCAGTGGGTTGATTTGATCAGCAACCATGGTGTCCATCCTTCCATCAGATACATGACATCACTATCAGTCATTACAAACACAAAAGGAGGTCCTAACCCAACCTGACCTGACCTTACCTAATGTAACATAACCTTACCCGACAGCTGACTCAACATGTGGTTCGGTGCAACTTATAAACATTTTGTGTAAAAAGTAGCCTAAGTATTGCTGTATTAGAAGGATATATTCTTTCTTTTCATGTTTTTGTTTTGCGAATTTCTTCAGTTTTTAAAGGGTGCAAAAAGAGGAAATAACCCATATGACTATATCTAATTCTATATTAATTCAATATTGATATTCTAGCTCGTCTTCCATATCCAAGACTTGCCCTCCTTTTAACACGCCAAAATCTAACTGGATAAGCACATTAATACTTGCCTTTCAATGAACTGGAATTCGTTACACAAAAAATAAGCTAATTTAGCCAAAAACGTCTATAAATTATTTTTAATTCAAGCCAGCAACGCTAGCAACCCATCTACCTACAGTATACACCCCTACACACCGCGCCGGCAGAGCCCATCAGTTATTTCTCGAAACAGCTGCGCAGTTTTTGTCGAAGTAAAATGATTTATTGCTAAAATGACGTATATATAATATATAGCTAACGATCAAGCTTAATTGTTGTTTTTTGAAAGTAAACTAGCTAATTTAACATTATAACAATAAACGTATTTCACAAAAGTGTAATTTGAAAGATTTATGGGAAAAATTACTAAACGACGTCATATTTTGCAGGGACGGATTACAACCAGCTCCATAGCAACGATGCGTCCATTCCGTTGCTATGTAAATAATAACAAATTTCAGTTCGAGCAGAGTTCAGTGGTTCGAGCGCAAGGCTGGATAGGTGCTGTGGGTATTTTGCAATGGTTTTGATGTATTTGATGCCGAAACGGCTTCGGCTTGAATTTCTACGCATCGAGCGTTGATTTCAATTCGCATCACGATAATGTCATCGGCTAAGATCTTTCGGGTCTGCTAATCTCAAACTGAAACTGAACGTGCGAATCTGAGCTCGGCGCTAGACTTTTATTCACATAGGGTAAGATGAATGCGAAGTTGTCCGGTCGGGTGGTGAATGTGTGCAAAGCAAGCAAGCTCAGCTGGACTGAGTAGGCACTAGGCAGGTTGCCAATTCGTGCGCTGCATTGACGGGTGGGCTGCTATCCCGCTAGTGCAGCCGCGAATCTATACCATCGCAATGGGTCGGTTAATGTGTAGGAAATTTACTGTTATTGCAGCATTTCACAGTCTTACACGAATTTATATTTCACTAAATTTGCGAAGCTATATCATTTGCTCTCAGCTTCACCTGCGCATATCTCCCCTAAGATCCAAGGCCCTATATAGACCTAAGATCCTGAGAGGCCAGTCCGGTAAACGATCTGTATCCGAAAGGCTCTCGAATGACGAATCTCACCATGTTATCCCTACAGGCGATCTCTGCTGGCCCCACACGATGACGCCCCGCCGATGAAGCCGCCGCAGCCGCGTCCCGGCGATGACGAGCCGGCGCCGCTGCCGCACGTGCGCGTCACGGCGACCACCGACTCGGCCGAGCTGCGCAGCCAGCTGGCCGTGCGTGACCTGACCGCGGTGCGGGCCGTCTCTGTGTCGGCGGAACCGGAGGCAGCTGCCGCGCTCAGCTGGACGCTGCAGCAGCTGCCGCGGCTGGAGCAGCTGCGGCTGCAGCGCGCGCCGCTGCCCGGCGGCCTGCGCGCCTTCGGCTCGGGGCTGTTCCAGTTGCGCGTGCTGTGGCTGGTGGGCTGCGCGCTGGAGACGCTGGACGGCGTGTGCGCGCTGCCGCGACTGCAGGAGCTCTATGTGGCCAGGAACCGGCTCACCGATGTCTCCATCTGCAGCTGTTTGGACCAGCTACAGGTGCCGGACCATGATGGGATGGGGCGGATGGCAGACGTGAGATAAAGTCCGTCAGGGTCACTAAGTCAGTCTGGTCTTCTATATTGCTTTTATTGTGCATGAATGGCGTTTTTATTTTATTACGATCAATTTTTACCTTAATCGTGCTGTTTCGCATGACAATGAGGCGGAGTATTTTGTTGTGCGCAGAAACCGATTAGCGACTTTTCCCGTTTTCCGCTTCTCTGCGCTATATCGTCTTTTCACGTAAACGATAAATAGCTACCTAAGTGTAATGAACCCATCTTTTTGTCGCCCGTACAGGTCCTGGATGTGGAGGATAACCAGGTGTCGGACCTGACGTCCTGTATGTTCCTGCGCGCCTGCTCCGAGCTCCGCTCGCTGAATCTGCTCGGAAACCCGGTGTGCGCGGAGAGTGAGCAGCTGCAGCAGCTGGGCGAGTGGCTGCCGCAGCTGCAGACGCTCAACGGCCAGCTGACGGCCGCCGGCGAGCGACTGCTGCGCCGGCTGCAGCGGTCGCCGCAGCAGCAGCTGCCGCCCGTGGTGGACACCGGCCTGAGGCGGGGCTCGGCCTCCCCGCCGGCACCGGCGGTGCCGTCTCTGGGAGCTCGGCGCAGGCAGTCCACGGACACTCAGTCGACGTCCAGCTCGCTGTCCCGACCCTCTACCGGCAGCGGAGCGAGCCTTCTCTCCAGCTCCCTGTCCAGACAGTCGAGTCCCAGCCTCCCGTCCAGTGGCGGACCCAGCCTGTCGTCCGGTGGCGGTCCCAGCCTGCCAGCTAACAGTGGACCCAGCCTGTCGTCTAACAGCGGACCCAGCCTGCCGTCCAGTGGTGGACCCAGTCTGTCGTCCGGTGGCGGTCCCAGCCTGCCGTCTAACAGCGGACCCAGCCTGCCGTCCAGCAGCTCCCTGTCACGCCCGTCCCCGAGCAGGGGCTCCAGCCTGCCGTCTCCGTCTCCGGCATCGTCACCGCGCCGTCAGCCGGCGTCTCCTCCGTGCCCGTCGCCCCGTCTCCCCGCTATCGGCGGCGGCGGCGCCCGTCGGCCGGCGGTCGGCCGCCCCACGGACACCGGAGCCGCCGGCGAGAGGCTGGAAGGGCGGCTCGGAGAAGTGAAGATCAACACGTGGATGGCCGAGGTGGGCGGCGGGAAGACGCCGCCGGACCGCCAGCTAGCCAGTGAGTGTAAATAGAGCCGCGCGGGGCGGGGGAGGGGTCACTCGCCTCGGGCTTCCAAATGGTCTGTTTTTGTGGGCGAGACCAAACAGTTTGGCGCCAGAGACTGTATTGAACGTTAACAACGTGTACAGAGTGTAGTCGCTGGCGCGTTCCACTCACAAAAATATGCGGCTCTGTTGTGTTAATATATACAGTGTTTCTGCACAGCAGTTACTTATGCCATACACATAGGTCGAACGTAGCGGCACCGTAGCGATACAACAAGCCACAGCGCACGTCAAACGGGCCCGATAAGCCCCGGACAAACGGCAGTGCGCCGCCCGATAGTACTGTGCCACGGCGCACGATGCTCTGGCATCGGGCCGGCCGCAGCTAGTAAGCTCATACACAGGTGTACCCATTGTGGCCAGTGGCCGCAGTACCAACGCTTTCTGACAATACGGTCCTAGAGTTTCCAAAAAAAGACGCTCATGAAGCTAAAGCCGCAAAATGTTTCAATTACTTTAGCATATGGAGATAAGCTATTTAGAACTAACGTTGGGCTTCTTAAGCTGCAATAACCCGTGCAAGTGTTGGCCACTACTTGAGATTCGGTCAAAGTATATACGTGACTGTTGTCACGTGTTTCTTTTCACTGTCCCGATCTGACATTGAACATGCTTGGTGCTCACTCCCGCCTCAAACAATAATCCGAACATCGAATGCGGCACACGATACGACGGTTAGTTAACAGCTAACGTGCAGGGGTCGGATGGTGACCTTCGGCCAGCGGTGACCCGGTCATACTGCCATCTGTTGTGCGTGTGCCTCTCTCTCTCTCTCTCTCTCTCTCTCTCTCTCTCTCTCTCTCTCTCTCTCTCTCTCTCTCTCTCTCTCTCTCTCTCTCTCTCTCTCTCTCTCTCTCTCTCTCTCTCTCTCTCTCTCTCTCTCCCGCAGATCAGACAATAATACCATTAAACAGCCCCACATACCCCCGACCCACGCCCGTGACAAGCTACTTTGCGCACTGTCGCGTCTTTTCGGCGACATTGGCGCTGAATGCGATACAAGCGGCTTCACATACCACCCTGCAGTCGTCACTAGAGAATTCCCTTGCAGTCTCATCGCCTCTCGGGCTCGACGGTCGGTAGTTCTCCGGTCAAAAGCGCTGGCCGGTGGCGGCCGACAGTAACCTCGCTGCCGCCATTCCATGATGTTTACCGAGTCACTGGATGACGCAGAAGGCCAGGCCGTCACTGAGCACGTCCTGCATCAGCATTGGGGTGGCCATCGGTAGAGCGCTGTCGTCGTTCATCTGGCGGTACAGCTCGTGGAACCGCTCCTGAAACGGAGAGTCAGCCTCAGTGGCGTGGCGGCAGTCATCAGTTGTATCTGCTTTAGTTCGCGTAGTCCTCGTCATTGAGCAGACTGAAAAACTGACTTCATCTGGGACGGCTAAACAATGAGACAAACCCGGTAATTGAGTTTTGTCGATGACACAACTTTTCGGCCACCTGTTAATCGTAATAAGGCGCTTGGCGTTCTTTGGTGACCAGATGCTGCTTCGTGGCTAGCTTAGCTGGCTGTTGGATGGTATTGCACGGAACACCTCTCCCGTTTCTTTTCAGCAAACTTACTATTGCGACTAAGGCGACGCTCCCAAATAATTTTGTTGCGTGGTTTGTTGGTCATTGTAGCAGTGCAGACTGTGGCCCCATCGTCCGCTTACAATGACCGTTCCCTCATGTTAGCCAGCGTTCAACATAATGCCTAAGCGCCGTTATTACCTTATGGTCGGATGCCCCTGACCCATGCAGTGCTTTGGTCGGGCGGTTTAGTCACACAAGTCGTTAGGAAGCGCCGCTACCACTGCAGTCCATATAGCTTATTTGTCATTATTTTAAACTGCTCCCGATACGTAAGTGCAGTGGATGACTTAATGTATCAATGCCTGTGCACTGCATAATGCATGCATGTGTCACTTAGCGGTCCCTGTAGGGAGCTCGATAGCTATTGCCAAACTCGGACTTCCATTCAAAGCACGTGCCGGAGCTTGAACGCCGGATCCGTTTTCCCTATCCATCCAACGCTGATGCGGATTCAGCTCCGATTCTTCCGGGAATTCGGATCATGGGCACTTCATATTGCGAGATTATGGACTATGACATTGTAGTAGATATCCTCATACACTTAGCATATGTGCCAAATGCCACAATATACCGCAACACGGCCGTTCAGTAGATGCTTAGTTAATATCGCTGCCCACAGATGGCGTTACTAGAAACGCCTGAAATTAGGCTGTACCGCCTGGCTCAAAACGCAAATGCTCTCGGTTACGAACGAGAAGTAGGTATCTTTCAGCTTGAACGCTGGCATTGCGCTGAACGACGACTGCACTTTCAAATTAAGGGACGGCTTATCTAAGCGCGATAAAAGCAACACGAAGACATACGATAAAAGCAACACGAGTCACGAAGACATATGGCACAGAAGTCGGTCTCATTAGCAGAGTGGGAGCGCCGCCACAAGTGGCTTCTCTGCGCAACAGTGCCTCTGTACCGCCCCCAGCACCGTCCGGATGCGGGCAATATCGGGTCGGCCCGTGATCCTTCGGCAGGGCGGTGCGGGCCAATTTATCACGGGCCGCGGCGCGCCTCGTCGGCCGGACCCGCGGCGGCCCAGCCTTCCGGCCCGGTTGACCCGGGCGCCCGACAAAGGCGGCCATCTTGTCGGCCATGAATGCCAGTTGTGAGAACCGGCAGGGAGAGGGGAGGCGAGAGGTGTCGAGCGCAGGTGTGTTGAGTTCGTAGTCCTGTGAGGCTATTAAAAATAGGAATATAAAGCCGGGTTATAACCAGCATGTTCCGTGATATAAAATTGTTCACGGCTTTTGATTGCATCACGCTCAGAACTGCTCGTAAGTCTAATAAATTACTCCACTCCAGATTTATTTCTGGGAACCTTCTGACACAGACGCAGTACCGGCGTGGCGATGTCCGGTGCCGTCTGGCTCAATCTGCTCCGCTGCCGTACAGTGCGCACCGGGCCGTGTCACGTGACAGTGCACCCACGGGGAGAGGACGCCGCGGGGCGTCGGTGACCCGGTGACCTCTGTGGGCGCTCGTCGGCCTGTCGCCGGCCAAAGGTCGCGGGCCGGGCGGCGGCCCATCGGTCTCGGCAGGAGCGCCGGCAGCAGTCAATGACCACCATTGGGTCGGCTGATAGCGGACCGTTTGCGGCCGGGTTAAGACGGCAATACGAGCGGCGACGGCGCGGATAAGGCGCCGCCGACCCGGCCGACAGTCGGCGGCTTCACAGCTGCCCGCGGCCGCCGGGTGATAGTTGGAGCCCACAGATAGCAGCCGGCAGAATGACCGCCGGCAAACGGGGCGGAAAATAGACCGCCGCCGTGGAATTCGCTGATTGCGCCCGCGGTGGCTTTAGTTCGCACGTGGCGGTCTTTTACATTCAGCCGAGCGAGTCGGCTGATTAAAGGAAAAAGTCAACCAAAGGATACTGGCCCTGATTATTAGCCATGCCTCGCTGAATGTGACAATCGACTCAAACGCTCACATTTTGCCAGATCCGATTGTGGTTCTCATTGAATGGGATTGCCTATTAGCTAAACTGCGCCATCAGCAGTGAACTGGCGGATTCCTGCTCCACAATTTAACCCGATCTATTGATGACCACTGAAAATCTGCTGATGACACTCCGACAGCAGACTCATACTCATAGTTTAGACTTTGTCGGCTTGAACGGGATGCTTGTTTTGATGCATCACACGACAAGGCTTTGTACCTATATCTATTGTCTGTCTTCAAAAGTAAGAAATATATGCTCTAAAAGAAGTACGTATTTAATCCTTAATAATGAGCTTTTCTGATCATCCCATAATTGAAGGGTGTCTGTGTAAATATGCTCCTCTGAAGGACTAAATCTGAAGGACTGTGTAAATCTGCTCCCAAAGATAAGCTGATGATGTATGATCCGTACCTGTATACGGTCACCCGGGATACGGTGTATGTTTTTCTTAAATATTTATGACTCCTTTCTGCCAGCTCAATTCATGTTATGTTGAATGTGTTGCGTGCCAGATGATGAATTTTTACCACACAATTATCACCGCAACATAGCTGCTCAATATATCAGCGGAGCGTAAGTGGTAGAGGCGGTTTTCGGTCCCTTCTCGTATGTGGGACGCTCAGTTGGTTTGGTCGCTATTGATCCAGTTGAGCGCGAGAGTGTTCGGGTGTTTTACAAACACACTCTCCGCGACACCCGAACGAATTGGTGGCGGGCGGACGCAAACAAAAGACGGAACAGTGAGAGCAGTGAACAGTGACGGCAAAACAAGGCATTTCGAGGCAATTTCAAGGCACAGAGCCGTATTATTGGGCTAGCAAAAGATCTTCCTACATTTGTGCCTCTCACGGGGTTCGCCCTATTACTAGGCGCACCATTTTTTTTTTTTTGTAGATTAGATACCTATACAATACATCACGAAAACAGGATATATCACTATTTTAATCAACTGCAATTTGATGTACCTATCCTTTAAGTTGAGCTTTGTCTGGAAGCAAGTAGCCGGCATTCAGGTTAGTCTAAATTAATGATCCGGTAAATTGTCAGATTACTAAGTTCGTCTACCAGTCCACACATAGCCGATGATAGCCTTGATGGAAAAGTTATCTGCAAAAATACCTACCTTCACAGTACACAGAATATACCTATTTACCAACCATGTCTATTGGAGCTCGTACCTGGCACTTGGCGCAGGTGCATACGCGTCCGTTGGAGTCCGAGTACTGTTCCATCAGCCGCCTCTCATACTCTCTCTGCTCCATCTCGGCGGCCAGGTCATTGCAGCTCGGACAGTCGGGGCAGTTCGCCGCGCCGTCCATAGATGTCGCCGCCATCGCCGCCGCCTGGTCGGTAGACTGTCCCGCAATACTGCCCCGGCCGCTGTCGCCCATATCGGGGTAGGCCGGTAGCGGCGGCCGCTGCGGACCAAATCAAACACCACCACATTGGAACACTTTTTGAGGTGGATCAGAGTTTTTACATTGCATAAGGCAGACGCTCTACGTTCGGTTCAATCAAGGCGCTGACTTTGCAAGACCGGAATCGCGAAATTCTATTTGGAAACATCATCGGAGCGAAAGAAATGCCCACCGGGCAAAGTAATCCATCCATTCTAATTTCCTCTGAATCTCTAGCGGCGAGCGGCTTGGTTCACGAACCCATTTAATGTAAAGTGGTCTAGCTATTCAGAACGGAGCGACCCGTGGAATCCTCACAATTATAAAACAATTCAGAGAGGGCTTATGCTGGGTTGAGCGCAGCAAGCTTGAACACTTCTGAATATAAGACAATAACAACTTATCTGAAGCACCTATTCGTTCACGTGTTCTGGTGCGACCTCGTTAAATCGAGAATATATCGAGATCGAGTCGAGTCGAATAAATCGAGAATATATAGCCAGGAAGACTTAGTTATGTAGCTGACACAGTAGGCTGTGGGCAGGGGCGGTGCAGTGAGGTGCGAACTAACCGTTGTGTCTATAGCTGTGGGGAGGGGCAGTCAGTATAGGGCGATACGAACTGACCGTGTGTCTCGCCGTGGCGTACGGAGGCGGCGGGCTGGTGGACAGCGCCGCCGGGTCCAGCCATTCTGTGCTGGCGTCTCGCCGCGGCGGGCGGTGCGAGTACAGGGGCGGCGGCACGTCTGGAACACATATTCAGTCACTGAGAGACAGAGACAGCGGTGGTGCGGGGATTGTCAGAGACATACTAACGGTGTGCCGTCATGACAGCGCGGGCCAACCATAAACACAGGCGTAACAGTTGATAATATGGGATGTCACTCACAGAATCAGGGACGACAGCGCATTGTATTGGACGGCTACCGATAGCCAGAGCCAGGTTCCGGCAGCGGCATGGGACAGCCTTAGTCGTCGGTAATACCAGTCGGTGATTCGGGTAGACAGCCTCAGGCCATTTCAGTCGTTGATAGCGGACTATCGCCGGCACAGTAGCGGGAACACATTACGCTGGACCGTTATCGCCGCAGTCGTGGGCAATGATGCGCACAGAAGTGATGGCCGAGTGTCGTGTACGCAGCTCCTGGCACGGGACAGTGTGTTCATCAGTGCAGCGATAATTGAAAATGTCGCCGACAGCCACTGTCAAGAACATTCAGTGATACCGGGAACGGTAGAATGTGGAAATTCCAATTTCCAACAGAACCGGCTAGAATTTATCTCAGGACGCACTGGCGCCACTGGCTACACATCAATTTTATACGCTTCAAAAATGACTGTACTGTTGGCAATACAAGCTCATGCTACAGCTTGTATTGTAATAGGATGACGTATAATTATTTCATTCAATTTCTAAGGAACAGTAGCTTTACTGAAGGAATATCTTATCCAATAAAAGTTAACTGCCTGCGGGCTTCTATAGGCCCAATGAAAGAATGAAGGGCGCCTCTCTCTCTCTCTCTCTCTCTCTCTCTCTCTCTCTCTCTCTCTCTCTCTCTCTCTCTCTCTCTTTCTGTCACCCCTCTCGCCAGCTCCATCGGATCTGTGTGTTTTACCGACTTGGACCGTTGACGTTCCGTGAAAGGCTCAACATTGACCCAACCAACGCAAACTTCGCTGCTGCGTGCTTTGGCGACTGACGCAGATAGCAGAGCTGTTTGCATTTAGTCTGCCAGCGCTCGAACTCTCCCCGTCTGCGAGGTATTACTGCCTTCATAAAAAACTTTTGGGTATTTGGTCTAAACAGGAACATTTTATTCTTATGAGCAGAAAGGGAAGGCCGATGGTAAAATATGTAACTTATATGCCTTGAGTACTTAAATTTGAGATTCACCGAATGTTTTTGATTAGAGCGGGGAGAGTTGTATCATGTCCAAGTTGTATCAGGGCGAATTGTGCCAAACTTATCCAATGGATGGCGCTCGCGACACGACCAGCCGACGAGGTTTTCCGGGCGCCATCTTTCCCTGTTCTGTCTTGTGGCTGAGTGGACGCGTCTCGAGGTGAGAGCCGATTTTATGTTTTTTTAATGTCATTCTAAAAAATAAGTTGCAAGAAAATGTGTGTTCTGGGCATTTAGATGTGCACGATATTTGAAAGATCTCCGTAGCGGAGGTGAGGGTAGGTTCTAAGGCTGCGTGAGTGAAAACGGATTTCTCCAGCTGTCCGCTGTTTTTTAGCACGAGGATGTTTTTTTCCAAGATGGCGGCTAGGTACATGTTGTATCAGAGCCGGGTGGGGTATGTTGTAACATGTATGTATGTATGTATGTATGGGTATGTTGCTTTTGATCGCGAAAGCTAAGCCCTGGCTCGCGTTTGTAGGTAGCTAGTCAATGCTCGTTCCATTTCGGCACAATGCGTTGGCTTCTTTGCTCTTAACGGGCCACTTTTGCGTCTAGTCTGTTGATGTTTCGTTCGGATTGCATTGACGTAAGCTTGGTCTAATAAAGTGAAGCCTTTGAGCATACGTATACACTATACATTGTATTAACCCCATTTAATGTTGTTGTTATGTTCAAAACCAGTAGCAAGCAGACTCCCTGAAACGTGAAATAGTGATACAAATTACCCCACCATGTGATACAACTCACCCAAGCCATGGGGCAAGTTGTATCAAAAACATTGTTCTATTCGGGAGACCGTAGAAGAAAAACTGGTAGAGGTAGCGGAAAAGTTACTTTGCACAAAAAAGCAGAAGAATCAAGGAAGGGGATGGTATGGAAATAATGAGTTTATCACGGATAGTTACGAGGTTATGGGTCTCGGAGTAAAAACTGATACAACCCACCCCACTCTCCCCTATGCGTAAAGCATTAAAGGGACCCTCCCACCTTCAAAAAAGCTTATGAATTGGCATGAAAGTGATGTCGCTCGGTTCAGAAAGAGCGAAAACGAATATCAACCAAATTTCACCGAAAAATATTCACCGGTTTTCAAGATATTAGACTTTTACTTTTGTTTACTTTTTGGGATCTCCGCTGTTCCTAGCGGCTTTATTTGGAAGCAATAGTTTGGCAGCTGAAAGTGCGGCACTTGTTGCGCGCAAAGCAGCATATACCACCTCGTGCTACAAAACGTTTTAGTCAAACATTTAAAAATCGTTAGATATCTGCGCTGACGTCACACATTCAGAGGGGTATTCCTATGCATTAGCCCCTCTGAATCAAATTGCTGCAATTTTGAAATTCAATATTTCTGATTTAAGGCATTTCTCGATGTTGTGAGTGCCGAAACCGGTAATTGTGAGCCAGGGACCCCATTTTGGCTATCTCAACTCAAATCTAATGTTAAGGTGGGAGGGTCCCTTTAAGCCTTTAACCCTATTCCTGGCGGGGGGGCCTCAGGAGCCCCCTCTGAGGTTTTTTGGCTATTTCTCCCAAACGCTTTGAGCTAGGAAGCTCAAATTTTCTGACTTTTCTCAAAAGGCTTTTACGCAACATTTCTAAAAATTTTGAGTTGATCTGACCTCAGGTCAGGTCACCAGAGGTGGTTTAGTGACCCTACCTCAGAAAAGTTTGCAATCACGCCAGAGCTAGAGTTTTTGACCGATCAATTTCTTCTCTTCAGGCTTTAGTGAGGGTACCAGTATGTGCAATTTGTATATCTCAGAATTTTCATATCTGTGACCTGAGGTCAGGCCAGACTCGTGACCTTTACATTGCAAGCCTATGGGAAAATATTGAAACGCCTCCTGCTTCGTGTAAACGAGTCAAAACCACCCAATTCTTTCAGTATTATGGAAGATTATCTCATCGGTGATGATCCTGGTGCCGCTAATTGACAGGGGCACCGGCAAAGGTCATCTGAGGTCATGTGACGTCATAAATCGTTTTTCTGTCAATAAATCACGACATGATGGTGCTAAAGACTTGTAAGTGGTACCAAACTGCTCGCCTGGTCAAGGCGCGTCGTTTGGTATGCAGCATGACCATACCCCACAACCTCATTGATGAATGACCTGACCTTGACCTCAGGTCAAATTTCAAATTGACCTGTGAAGGTCATCACATACTTATTTCGCATCGCCTCGGCAAGAGCAACAAAAAATGTATTGGGGTTTTATGTCTCTATGTTCCTTAGTTTAAAAGTTATATAGGTAACTAATTCCAAAACATTTTATCGTTGATGACCTCTGGTGACCTCAATATTAACCTGACCTGAAAATGTTTTATGTAAAAGTTGTCTTTAAACGACCTATCAAACACCGTTCGCCGTTTGTCGCTGCGATGTGTAGTTTTTGAGATCTGAAGGGGGGGCCGAATCGGCCCCGCCGCCAGTTTCTTGTCCCGGCGGAGCCCGCCAGGAATAGGGTTAAGCCAATCACAATTAGAATTGTCGAATAATCCGTATTTAATGTAGTAAGCCTATTTAATCTGAATTATGAACTGTAGACAAGATGTAACATACTGACCAGTGCAACTCTTCGGAATTCATAAAGGGCTAGGCTGTCTGTATTTTGAATACCTAGGCCTTACTATATCGTATCAAGGGCACTGTCTAAATCGTAGAGCTTATGTGGTTTCAGAGATTTCTAGAAATGGCACATTGTCGCGCTAATAATCATGTTGAATCGCTTTGAAAGAATCGCTTTGAATAGTGTTTGTATCCTGAATTAATCCCTTAGTATAAATATCAGAAAGCGACACTCGTTAGCAAAGCCATTCCGAATGTAAATATCTTGCCGGAAGAAACAAGCTGGATGCGGTCAAAATAACGTAGGGAGAAACACGTTCCAAATCAACCACTTCATAAGCACGCTCTTCAGAGCTACAGACATCAAAAGCAGCGCGCGAAATTGAGTGGGCTAGATCCTCTGGGATCTTACAAATCACCTCCAGGCCGGGAGTCTGATCTGGTCGGATCCACGAGCCGGAATGATATATGCTCCGTTCCAGATTCGGCTGATAGAATTTCTGCTTGGGCATGCTGGCGCCCCTCACTCAGTTACATGCATGTTTGTGTGGCATTATTATGCTGACTGCTGAGACACACCAGCTGGCCAGATTGATGAATCATTATGAATAGACAATTTAACGGCGATATGACGTTCCTAAGTGGTTGGCATCTTGATTAAATTCCAAAACTGCTTGTGTATGCAAATTGTCGGGCTGTTAGGAGGGTATGACACATAATTGCCATCAAGTTCTCATGCATGAATCACGCATGGTTCTTTGTGCTGCTATCCTGGAATACACATTAGTCTGTAGACAGGGATAATGACTGGGGTGGAATGTCGCGGTAACCTTACACCCAAAAGGCTAAAACAACAACTATACCTGTCACTGCAGTGGGAACAAGCGCACTCATATGACCTGAGCAGTGAGGTGACCATTCTACTGGCTTGGCCAGCCCCTGACCTCTAACACCACCTGAAGCCTCTCAGACCGATACACGACACTGGCCCGTGACCTGACCTGTGAGCCGGCAGCCATGTAGTCGCTCCTCACTGCGACTGCGGCCCTTTCCGGTCAGTCTGTCGCCCCCGCCGCCGCCGCCGCCGCCGCCGCCGCCGCCCCGGGCGCTGGTCGGCTCAGCGGTAGCGGTGTCGAAGGAGCCCTGCTGCCGGAGCGGGTACTTGGTCTTGGTGTGGCACATTGGGCAGCGACCTGAAAACACAGACACCGTGTCAGTGTCAGACGTGGCGTGTCAGTGTCAAACGTGGCGTGTCGGTGTCAGACGCGGCGTGTCTCGTGAATTTTTGATTGGCGGATGGATGTGCTCGCGGGTACAGCGAAAGTCTGGTAGTGTTGCGAGCAAATTAACCACTCTAGACACGCTGAACTTTACTGGCAGTCTTGGTAACACAATCAGGAACTGATGTATGGAGCCGGCCGAAATGAACGTGAACAATCTGCTTAGCTACAACATATGTATATTGTATTTGTATATGCAGCATTGAGCATAGTATAGCCAAGCTAAACTATAATCTGCTCCAATTTGCGCCTGTCTACGTCCAAGAATCTTGCAATCATCCAGGCCTTTAGCCTTTGCGACATCATTTCGCCCGCGTTTTTTTTTAGCAAGGCGCTTCATTCGTATTGACTATTTATATTATTCTAACGAATTACTGAACTCCAGGTAAAGGTGTATTTAAATGCAAGTCAGCGGGCATTCAAAAGCAAAAGATCGCATAATATATAATCTCGGTATGTGGTAAAAGTATGAACTGCTTCCTTCCCAAATGAAATATGTAACTAACGCTCTGAAAAGGAAGCAGTATTCCAGAGTTGTGCCAGAGCCAACCATTGATTGTGTCCCATTCTAAGAATGTTTGTCGCATTATTTCAAAAAACGTTCGCCTTCGCATTTTGCTAGCGAATCTAATTAGCTAAATGCCGTCAGATTTCAACTGACGGTCCCGGGTCTTCGCCAAGCGATGAATAGAAGCTAGAACGGCTTGTTTACTACACTTTGCTCAAGCATGATGTGCAGTTGGATCTCATCAACTACTACTCTTCTGCATAAATCACGATGTGCAGGGCATACTGAAAGTACCGAAAATATGTAAATATCGGACCAACTATCGAAGTACCCAAAGTACCCTTCCCGTCTCCTTAGTCACTGGGAAAACTATTTCCCATTTACTCCCGTCCCCCTCGTCCCAGCACGGGGGCGCCAGGGAACGGGACCAGGACCTGCACACGACCATTGGACAGCGTCCAATATTGTGACTGTAAATATGGGACGACCGCTGTCGGACGCATGTAGATCACATCAGGGCAGCCCGGAACACCCCTCCGTCGGGCGCCATCACTCCGGTGAAGGCACTGAGGCAACACTGCGGACGCCGCCCCGGCAGGCACTGCGAGCCTTGGTGAGTAGAAGTGAGGATTCAATGGTTTGGAGACACTTGGAACGAGTCTCACTGATGCAAAAGTCTCACTGTCTCACTGATGTTATTCACAGGTTCAGGATTGTCAAAAAAAAAAAAAAAACGTTTACAGTAGCTGCAATTTGCAGACGATGCTATCACACTACGCCTGGCTCTATTATCTGCTAGTTACCTCATTTGAAACAACAATGCTAAGTAGTAGTAGACCGTAATTATGGCGCCTACGAACAATGTATCATAATCATACTTTGATACTGCCTCCTATCCTGCTTTTCTTTTTTGCCGATTCTCTCTCCCTCTCTGTCCCCTTTTCTCTCCTATTCTTTCCTTGTCACCAACAGTTGCATCCACCTCTCCTTTTTCTATCGACAGCCACCAGTTCGTTGGACTGATTGCATTACCCATCACTTTTTGTGCAGCTGTTCGCCGAATACAATGCAATACATGACAAATAAGCGATCATGAATAGATATGCAAATCTGATGAGATATTGGAAACAACATGCAACATGCGAATAGCGCCTTCCTTTTCGCATTATTTAATCACTAAAGATATGAGAAAATATGCAAATAATCCTAACAACCATTCTCACTATAATTTATAGGATGATTTATACACCAGATAACCGTGAATCGTTTGCTCATCCGTTCTTTATTCGTCCGGATCCGGAAGTGTTAAGGATAGTCCGTAAAATACAGCCGCGTCGCCTGCGGGCCGTCTCCGGGTGCCCCAGCTGGCAGGAGGCACACGGATGGGCCCACTCGGGCGGCTCGAACAGCCCCCAGCGGCCGCCGGGCAGGGTGCCAGCCGCACAACGACGACTGACAAGCAGCTTAACCGGCTATGGATCCGCAGCAGCCCGTCCCGTTCCGATGGAAGGGCCACACTCCTCGTAACGGGCCCAGAGACGGAAATCTTGAAGAGGTTTTGGTTATCATGAAAATAAGGCTTATGCAGCTGGGCTCGTGAGAAACTTATAAAAAAATGTCACAAGCTGGTGCTTTGTGTCATACTAAACCGAACAACCTGAAATGTTTTGATTAAACGTCTCACCTGAGATCTATTGAGTACAATCAAACCGTTCTGTCTGTCTGTATGTATGTAGCTCCCGCGTCTTCACACACACCACAATTGAGTTACAGGCACCATCACTACGGTGACGCGACAACGCAGCGCTTCAAGTAATCAGAATCAGAATCAGAATGTATTTCGTAACAAATCCATTAAATCATGGTTTTTCGTCGTCACACGTCATATTATTAAAAAACGTATGTACAGGTAGGTAGGCGCTACAGTACCAGTACAGTGCATGCATCTACAATCACATATCGTCACGTTCAAATGACTATTGCACAACGCGCAGATCACAATATGACATGTTGACAGTTGTTGTAATGACAGTTGTTCGATCAGTGATCGGATTCTTGGCGACTTGGTACGTACCAAATGGAACAGGTTTTTAGCCGCATAGAAAGCTTCACCCATCCTTAGTCCGTAGTTATGTTTGGTCAATTAATTTGGTATGCTAATTGCTAACACAGCTATGTAACATATTTCTTTGAACGATGTGGAGCTATTGCATACAAACGTACAATAGTTTTTCATAGAAAACGATCTCACTTGATGTTCATTGTTGGCATCTTCACGCATCTTTCAAATACCACTTTTTATAATTCGCAGCTGAATGAGTCAGAGGGGATTTCCAAAGTCTCAAACGCATCCATCTGAAAGACATATCCGGCGACGGTGAATGTAAAGACGACATTACTTTCGTTAAAACGGCTTCATACTATATGAAACGAAGACGAACGACCCAACTAACTGCCTGGTAGGTCATTTTTATGGCCAAAGATGTTATTGACGCCGGGCTTATTTATCACCACTTGGCTGTAAGGTGAAGTGAATTATGAAATATCCTAAAACCAGCTTCTATGTGCAAAGATCGAGAATCCAAGATATTTAGACTACTAGGTACCTACATCACGGATGGTGAATGGTGATTCACATACGACTTTGCTTTTGCAACGATACAGGAAGATGAGGGATACTCCACCTAAGCAGAATCATCATGGAATCAGCACATCAAGATGGTGATATACACCGAGATTGAGGCCTCAAGCCTGAAGCGCAAAACGCGGCGACCTATACCGGATGGTACCGGACAGAGCGATCTGGTACTGCGCTGCAGATTCGCCGCTGAGCGGGGAGACTCAGCAGACCAATTGGCCTGCCCGTAGCGCGGCGATTGGCTCGACTTTAAGCCCCGATTGGCCGTCACCCGCGGACCGCGAGCATCACCGATGTCAGCGTCTGAACAGGCCGTATCGATTGCCCTTCTGGCGCCGCGGACCGGACGGGAGTCGCGACCGGCGACCGGCTGCAGCAGTCGACAGAGATCCGGCTGCGGCAGTCGACAGAGATCCGGCTGCTATGTTTTTTACCCTATCGCTCCACTAACAGCGTCATCCGTTCCAGCGACACTGGCAACTTGGGCGAGTGTGTCACTCGAGCTGGAGGTATACGTTGAGAGACCGTCGTCAGCGCCCGAGGAGATGGGGTGATGTCTGCCACATCGGGTGTTATCGTGGCCGGCGAACGGCAGCCGGTTGGATAAAACTTTGATCGGGCTCTGACGCGGAGATCGGCGGCCTGTTTTCGTTGTGTTCGCTACTGCGGACACCCAGGTCACGCAGGTTTACACGTATGATCGACCTGTTGGCTCGATCCGGGAGGACGGATCAAGTGGCGACGGTCGAGCGGAATGGTCCACTCGGTTTGCTCAGTCGAGGCTATAATTCAAGCTGACAACATACTCCATTTGTTTCCAAGCAGCAGGCTGACATGAAATAAAACGGTCAGTTCTGTTGGACGAGGCCCAAAAAGCAGGGAACATGCTCTGAGCTTTTGGAGTAGGTCGTAGTGCTGGAAACGTTACTTATCGAAAGAAGAAAAAATTAATGGTGATGCAGCGTTCGTAATTAAACCTCAGATAACAATAACTCAGCTCTTTTATAGACATTGCCGCGTCATCGTGCATTTCTCTATACCTCTGCGCGGGAAGGTTAGGCATTGCCCTTCTCCGTTCTAAACTGGACTGACTCCGTATACTTCCCATGTGCTACTACTATCTATACGTTCCATGTGTTAAGCAATGCAAATGATCACGACTGCGTTTGGGTCAAGCCGGAAACAGGGCGGACTAAATATCTAAAACTATCTCGATGTCATAAGGACGGACAGAAATGATCAAATCTGACATGAAAAGAACCAGTCAACCCAGCAATCACCATGAAGTGTTTCTAAAATCGAAGAACGAGTCCGATACATTCGGCACATTCGGGCATCGAAAAAAGACCCTGTGCGATTGGAAACAATAACATATTTGTCAGCAACGTTCATCCATCACAGCCAACGTCAATAGGTATTTTACTTGTGGAAGCAAGGGTCTTAGCAATATACCAAAGCTCGTATCATCCGCTCTCGGCCTTTCATCCAGCAAGGGTGATGTGATACTTAAAATGCATAGGACTCCATCAACAAAGTTCCGGCATCGCTTTTCAAGTGGCACAGGTGCCATCGTTGGATCGCGTGGCTCGCCGCTGCAATCTAATTGTCAAAGTTAACGTGCTAGAGGATTAGATCGCTGCTCTCGAGAACCAAAAGTTTGTTTTCTTGACACGAGGTAAAAAATAAGACATTTCAATTAGTTTCTGTCCCATTCATGACTGCGACCGCTCATTGACACCCGTACTTTAACTCATGCAACATGCATTCATTCAGTCAGCCCAGATTATGTGTGTCTATACTATTGTCCTATTTATCCCTCGTTGTATGTCTGACCCACCTGCGAACCATTTCCGCCTCTTCTCGTCCTGTGAGAGGCCACAGAAGCAGCTGTATTTGGCCGACTCCCCTCCCGGCATCTCCGACGTCGGCCGCGCCCTCCTGCAGAAATGTCGACACACAATTACACGCGGGTCGCCGCTGTAAACGCTCAACACGTAACACGCCACCACCTAATTGCGATCCATTATTCACCCTGCAGTGGGGCAAAGCGCCGCGAGTCCCTTCGTTATGGCTACGACTTAATATTAACAGAGCATGGACTTTCGTGCGATAGGCAACTAACACAAAATAATGACATTCATTTCAACTTAGACTAATCGAAAAGAGACTATTTTCGACCATATGTGGACAAACGTCCACCAAAATATACTTACTATCGACCACTTTTTCTCACAAATAAACTTAGGTCGGTTTAGCTTCGCCTTGACATCATTTACAGCATGCCAGTGGCAATTATAAACGATGAATCTTGGATGATCGTTTTTTTTTTTGCTGACCCCTTATGAGTTTGAATATTTCAAAGTTGTACGCATTTTTGCCTTGTTGGAATTTTTGTAAATGATGACACCGAATAGATAAGTGGGGTTACCGGCCAAGAAGACTTTGTTGTGGGGGTCGGGTCACACTCGGTGGGTGGTACTGGCCGATGTGCCGGGACGAGCACCATACGTTTTGGAAATGGATCTTACCGGTAATGTGATTCTGCTAGGCAAAATGTTTATTTGTTTAGGTACATGTCTCAATTTTCAAGGTGGGTTATAACTGCATGCCACCGAGTACCTTTCGATACCCTGTTTTGTCGTTTTCAGACATAATAGTTCCATTGTCGCCGCGTTGTGACAGCCGACTTTGGATGTACTATTGCAGCCATATAGCTGTTTAGAAGGGGCATCCCCTTGCAAAGAAAGACTTTACCAAAACTGCCATGTCAGACAAGAACACATGCTCTGACAGATAAACAAACCAACAACGATAGCCAGACGGTCACACATATCAAACTGCTATCTGATCCATTTAACCGATCAGCACACTCGCACCTCAACCCCATCCAGCTAACCACCAAAATACTAGCGCCATTCCCGATCGTCGGCGGCGGCCGCGCGTTTACCTGGTGCGTGCGTCGCTGGCGTCGCGGCCCCACTGCCGGCCGTCGGTCGTCGGAAGCGACGCGACGGCGACGGCGCAGGTCGATGTCGGGAGGCTACAGTGTCGGGGAGGGAGAGAGGGAGGGGGATACACCGGCGCCACCGCGACGGTCCAGAGGGATGCAGAGCGGGGGAGAGAGAGAGAGAGAGAGAGAGAGAGAGAGAGAGAGAGAGAGAGAGAGAGAGAGAGAGAGAGAGAGAGAGAGAGAGAGAGAGAGAGAGAGAGAGAGAGAGAGAGAGAGAGAGAGAGAGAGAGAGAGAGAGAGAGAGAGAGAGAGAGAGAGAGAGAGAGAGAGAGAGAGAGAGAGAGAGAGAGAGAGAGAGAGAGAGAGAGAGAGAGAGAGAGAGAGAGAGAGAGAGAGAGAGGAGTACCGGTGCACTGCAGTCACTCGCTCAGTCAGACCCCAGCCAGCGGCTCAGGCCCGGGTGACCTACGCCCGGGTGGCCTACGCCCGGCTGACCTACGCCCGAATTGCCTACTCCATCGAATGTCTACGCCCGGGTGACCTACGCCCGGCTGACCTACGCCCGAATCGCCTACTCCATCAAATGTCTACGCCCGGGTGACCTACGCCCGGCTGACCTACGCCCGAATTGCCTACTCCATCGAATGTCTACGCCCGGGTGACCTACGCCCGGCTGACCTACGCCCGAATCGCCTACTCCATCGAATGTCTACGCCCGGGTGACCTACGCCCGGCTGACCTACGCCCGAATCGCCTACTCCATCGAATCTCTACGCCCGGGTGACCTACGCCCGGCTAACCTACGCCCGAATCGCCTACTCCATCGAATGTCTACGCCCGGCTGACCTACGCCCGGCTGACCTACGCCCGAATCGCCTACTCCATCGAATGTCTACGCCCGGCTGACCTACGCCCGGCTGACCTACGCCCGAATCGCCTACTCCATCGAATGTCTACGCCCGGCTGACCTACGCCCGGCTGACCTACGCCCGAATCGCCTACTCCATCGAATGTCTACGCCCGGCTGACCTACGCCCGAATCGCCTACTCCATCGAATGTCTACTGCTCCCCTCCTGTCCGATTAACGAGTGAAGATTTCGCATACCAAAGTGACCCTTCCGGGGGACCGGCACCCACAGTCAGGTAGGTAACAATGGGAAGGGTCGGAGGGACCGACCGCCGCGCCGCATGGTGACAGGTGATTCCCGGGACGTCCGAGCGTCGCCTTTCAGACGCATCGCCTGCCTTCCCTCCCGCCGCGCCGTGCCGCGCCGCACAAAGCAGACGGATCCTGTCGCGGCGCGACCTACCCGACCAGGCTGTCATCATCGGCGTAGAGCCTGAACTGCTTTTTTTAAAGCGTTGAGCTGATCAAGCTTGAGTAGCCATGCTTGCGTATTTCACGCTTCAGCCCTGCTGTGAGCCATGATTTATGATTTCTCATTTCAGATCTTAACAATGATCTTAGGTAGGAAGAACCGTGAGAAACGCCCCTCCCCCTAAGCCCTCGCCGGTATGGGGGGGGGGGGTCGAACAGCCCCCTCTCGGTTTTCGCAAATAACTCGCGTAAAAACCCGCTGATCGCGACGAAACTTTCATTACCCTCGCGTTCATTAATTTTAAACCTACCCTGACAATTTCATGACCCTGACGCAAATCACCTTTGACCTGTGACCTACTTTTCGAGGCCATGTTTGGCCGGAATCGCGATTCGGCGTATGTCGTCTCCTATTAGCCGCGCGTTTGCACTCTTTTCGTGGTTTCAAGCGTTCAAAGATGTGATATGATATTGCTCCTATGCGTTAGGGTGGGTGTCAAGTTCACTTGAAGCTCAGGTCAGGTCACTGACCTTAAATGAGCTCGGTTAACTTTTACATGTTTCTAGGCTAGTTTTTTTTTTAGCTTAATTCGAATTTAGCAACCATATGAGCATTTACGAAGTAGTTTTGGTGCCATCGTAACGTGTTATGAAGCTGTCAGAGGCGGTTGACACCTACTACGAATACCCGGCAAAACCACTACTGGTTGACCTGAAGTGACCTGACCCGACCTGGCCTAAAAGCATGAAGACATCATCTGTGATAAAAACTAACATGATATTCGTGATCAGAACCCCGAATAGCCCCGTAGCAGCCACACTTTACGACCTAACTGGTCCCGATTTTCCCGACTTTTGGGCCATTGACCTGGCCTGGAAGGTCAACCAATGACCTAGGACCTTAAATTGGGTATCATCGGCTTCCTCTTGTCACGGGCAACACGCTTGCTTTTTTTCGCGAAGCTCTAGCTCGATCAGGGGTGATACGGCAAGGGGGTCCAACGGAATCATCCCGCCCTTATACGTTTGCGGCTGTCAAAACACCAATACTGGCGAGGGGGTGTGTCACCGTTAGACTAGTTATTTGACCATATACTATTAGGTATTTATCTATATTTATTTATTTACGATCTCAAGCCTCCACGTGGTAGGTTTTAAAGCTTACGTCATTGTACAGTATGTCTTAAAAGTACCGCGCAAAGTAACAGTGGATCCATCAAGCCTGACGGAGGAAGGACTGCTAGTCACCAAAACAATGGATATCCTCGTCCGCAGGGCATTTTTCATAACACGGCCTGGCAGGGGGGGGGGGGGTCGATGCGACCCCCCTCCCAATTGGCTCCTATGGCAACTAGAAACACCAAATTTGGTAGGTAGGTGTGCCCCCTGGAGTTCCCACCCCTGTGCAAATTTGGTTGCTCTGGGTCAATATTTTTTTGGGGGGGTGGGGGATATAAATGTAAAAATTTCGCTAAAATAGGTCAAATGTTTTCGCTTATAACTTTTGATCTAATTAAGATAGAGCAAAAAGAAAAGCACCAGTGAACTCAGCACGTCAAGGCGCGTCGAATGATATACTTTTTAGGTTGCTTAAATGTACTTGTTTTACTTAATTATTAAGTAAACTTTAATTAATTAATTAAGTTCAAGTGAAGATATTCGTGATCAGCACCCCGGAAAACCACATAGCAGCCACACTTTACGACTTTATAACAGGTCCCGATTTTCCCGGTTTTCGGGTCATTGACCTGACCTGGAAGGTCACCCGATGACCTAGGACCAAAATTGGGTATCATCGGCTTCCTCTCGTGACGGGCAACACGCTCGTTTTTTTTCGCGAAGCTCTAGCTCGATCAGGGGCCAAACGCGAGGGGGGTCGTACCAACCCTCCCCCCCCCTTGTGCCGTCGAAGGACGCAAAATGGCCTGTGCCGGCGAGGGTTAACAGCAGCTCACTTGGTGCTTCTTTGTTTGGTGTACTTATCCATGGGTCAGGTCAAATGAGGTCAACTTAGGTCAAATGACGTTTTTTGCCAATAACTTGGGACATAATGATGCTAGAGCTAAAAAAAATGATGTCATTGTGTTCCTGGTGATCAGCCGAATCGAATGATATGCGACATGATGCAATTTGGTTCACTCCAGGGCAACCAAACTACTACCAAACCGCTCAGCAAATGGTACGGTGCATAGCAATTTGAAATTTCTCTATTTGAAATCCTGGATCCGCCTATTATAGGAAAAACGTGTAAAAAGAAGATGCACAGTCACCCAATCACTGCGTATACGTATGCTATCACAAGTCATATATAACATGAATCAAGCAGAAGCCCATATTGCACAAGCCCATCCGCGTCGTTAACTTCACTGAAGACGCACATTTTTTATAAGTAAACAATCCTTGCTTCTTCTTTTAAAAACAAATGAAACAACAACTGATTGAAACAACAAACAACTGACCGTTTTGTTTTCTTTATTACTGTATGCCTGGCCTATTCAAATACATTAGCCGGAGGGGTGTAGTACTGGTGTAAGCAAATTGACCACGCACGGTCAAAAATGCATTACCAGAATGCATTTAAGCCAATATTTTGGGATGGTCTCGTTCCTAAGTCGGCTAATAGCTTCGGTCCAGAACATAAATTTATCGTTGGCATACAGTAAAATACATACCAGACTCGGCCAATGATAAATTTTCAAGACCTCAGTCCTTACTGTTTTTTTTTTTAACTCGGCTTTCGGCCTCGTTCAAAAATCCAGTAAGGACCTCGGCCTTGAAAATTTATTTACACCGGCCTCGTTCAGTATTATATAACGCTAGAGAGTCTTTGGCGTAATACCCGAGAAGCCATCTTTCCTCACTGTCCCCTACGTGTCGATCTGAGCTTGAACTTGCCTACGTGCCGATCTGAGTTCAGGTCTAGCAGTTTCCACGTCCTGTCGGGGAGGGGGGGGGGGGCAAAGGCAATCCGTCCCAGCTCAAATAACAATATCTATAAGCAAATTCGTTATCAGCACCCCGAGAAAGCCGCATTGCAACCTTTTTACGATGTTCTAACAGGGCCTAATTTTCCCGACTTTTGGGTTATTGACCTGACCTGCAAGGTCAACCAATAACCTAGGGTCTTAACCCGCGAGTTGCTGGGGGGGGGGGCGTTAAACGCCCCCACTTTTTCGCCGGGCCATAGCATTAAAATGGCGCGCCAAATTTTGGGTACCTGTAGGGAATTGATTGAAGTTTATTTTGACAAAGTTTCAAAAAAATCGGTCGGAAAATTTTTGAGAAATCGAGGTTTTAGTGACGTCATGATTTCTGAGTTTTCAACCAAAAACGGCATATGTTCCAAAAATCATATAAAATCACAGAATAGACATACAGACATGCCGTAAACGCCATTAGACTGCCAATACCATGAACAATCAAATGGCTATCTTCGATTATTGATTATCGTTCCGCATTTTCCAGAATCTTGAACTGAATCTTGGCAAATTCTCGTGACTACTTCACGACCATGATACATGCATTTCTTAAATTGAGCTTTTTGAGCCAAACAGGTACACATATGATAAAATGAATGCCACCATCGTGTTCTACGCCCCAAATTACCCATAAAACATGTGTCACAGGCTGCGAATATCAGTTTTGATTTTCGGGGATATGTGCCTACCCGGTTGACCTGACCTTGACCCTGACCTATGCTTGACTGACCCCTACATGGAGCTGGCACTCCTGTAGGCCTTATATGATGGATTGTGCACCGTTTTGACAGAGTTACTGACGAGAAGCGCCCATT